CTCCATAGCAGCTAAGATTGCATTGTAAGAAATACTGGGCTCAGGCTGCAGCAGCTAAACAAGACATCGAGTTGGGAAGCTGCCTAGATGGGTACGGAACTGGAGCAGCTAAACAGGTAATATAGTTTAAAGAAGCTGCTCAGACAGACACTGAACTGGGACAGACGACCCACAAGTTCTCAGATTCCGTAGGAAACTGATTAGATCAATAAATAGAAAAGCTGAAACATCACATTCATTCATACTCTGCGAGATATATCTAAACATATGGAGAGAGAACATTAATGGGAGATTTACGAAATGAAGTACTGGAACCAAGAGAAGGACATTTGTACACGCCCTTTCTCTGAGGGACCAAATGATTGATCTCGAAAATCCGAAGATTTATGTCTGTAATTGTAATCGATAGAATAGCTTTAATCATTACATCATTAATCTACAACATTTTTTAAACTTTAGATTTCTATGAGCTTTTGCTTGAAGTTAAAGTAAGACCCATAAAACTGTGGATTATGAAGACAATTTTAGACTCAAGTTATGATTATAAATAGTCCAATGAACATTAACAAAAACAATTGTGCAGTGTACACAGACCCATTTCACTTAATAAGTTGATTTTCATACTACTGGTTAAACTATTTGCTTGAAAACAACATTAAAATGCAAAAGGTTGCTTAAATGTTGTCTTCCCATTCCACATTTTTATGAGTCTCACTGTATTTAAATATTGAAAATGTAATGCAGGAGGATTAAGATTAAGATTAAGATAAAGATCAGAACATGAGCATTCAGAACTTTGGGGGAAATATTTAGGTTTGTGAAGGTTTTGAATAATGTAAATTGGATATAAATAGGGTCTGGGACATCATTAAAATCATAAAGTGACATTATTTTGATGTCATTAAAATGCTATGTGACATCATTTGAATGTTGTTGCAATGTTAGGTATCACTTGCAATGTTAATTGACATTATTTTGATGTCATTTTAAAGTAAAACTGTACATGAATGAGACATTACTAAAATGTAAATGGACGTTATTTAGACGTCTTTTAAAAGTAAAACTACATTAATGAGAGATCATAAAAAAGTTTAAAAGTTTAAAATCTTGGTGTCATTTGATGTTAAGTGGCATAAATTGGATAGAAAAATAAGCTTCCAAGACATCATTGAAATGGCAAGTGACATTAATTTGGGGTCATTAAAATGTTATGTGACATTATTTGAACGTCATTGAGATGTTAGGTATCGTAAATAGGATCTCATTTAGGAATATTGTAACGTCAAAATATGTCATTATGATGACTCAACACATTCGAAATGACATCAAATTGACATAATTTAGGGATATTTTGACATCAATCTAATGTCATAAAATGACTTCCTATTACGTTTTTACATTAATTTTATGTCTTTTTGTGATGTCAAATTGACGTTACTACACTCTAAACAGATGTAAATTTGATGTTAATTTAATGTCTGTTGTCTTGTTGGGAGGGAAGCTAGTGTTCTCTGGTGCCAGAACTCAAGAGAAAATTAGAAAAATTAAATCCCCTCCGGCTGACATTTTCTGTTTTAAAGAGGATATTGTGGATGACTAAGATGAAGCTGATATTAAGATAACAGTTGATAATATTGTGGCAAATGTATAAACCACGTGAAAATCAAATGTTGTCTATAGCACCATTGTCTGCTAGAACTCCAATGTACTGCATAACACCCCACCCAGAAAATTACATCGAAACTCGTCTATGATCCATCCATTTTATTATATATCCGTGGGAAAAACCTAGAGATACAAGGCCACAGATTGAGCCAGAGAAGGAAAAACCTAGGGATAAAAGGCCACAGATTGAGTCTGGAGACCTTCTCTCTACGGCTTGTAAAAGCCTGTTTTTTAGGACGAAAACCCACCCGCTATATTAACTTCTCAGCAAATATTCCTGGACGAAAATTCTAGCTGGGAGTTGAGTACGAATGCTACATCTTCTGGAGCGTTTCAGGACGACAATTCAAGATTGACGAGTAGAACAGTAAACCCTGTTAAACCAGTTGTAGCTGAAAAGTCAGTTAATTCTTCAAGGAAGGGAGGAGAAGGTAGAAGGGTTGGGGAGGAGAGAGAAGAGCTGTGCAATGAGTCAAAAAAAACTCCTTAAAAGAAAAGCTGAGATCATGGGTAAATATTTTTTCAATAGTACAATTTTTAAATACATTTAAAAGGGTCACTTTAAGTAACGTCTACATACCTTTTAAGTCATTTTCTATTCAACAGTTTTATGTTTGACTAATACTTTATCAATCAATTTGACATCTATATTGTTCATTGTCTACTGTATTAGTGGACTTTTTTCTTTGATTTTTTTAAAAGTGTCACTTGCATAATTATTAATCATTGAATAAATATTTCAGAGCTGGAACATATCCATAAATTAAAACTGGAGAAAGAGGAGGCTGAGGAAAAGAAAAAAACTCAAGAACTGCTTAGAACACATGCCCAACTTCTTTTCGATAAAAAAATGGAAATCCTTGTTTCCATTCAAAAGTCCATTGAGGTTATTTTTTCTTTGATAACTGAATGGTCATTTGATGGGCATTTGATTTTGTTCGTTTTTAAAGAATTTTAAGGTTCTTTACTTTAAAAAAGGTCTTCTCCTACAATATACAAAGTTTTAACGATCGTTCATTTGGTTCATTTTTTAGTTTGTTACTTAAAACCTTAAAAGTATTAAAAAACTAACGAAATAAAATGCCTAACACTTCCTCCAGGTACAGTGGTATGCGCATATATGAATGCAAAGAAAACAAATTTTGATTAAAATCAAGCTGTTTAACAGCATGAATGCACATAAATAGAGAAGTCAATAAATGTTGTCAATTAAAAAAACTTCTCTTTGATTACTTATAAACTTAGATTAAAAAAAAGCTTCTTAATAATCAAAACTTAAATAAAAAAGTAGTTGCATTCACATAATCGCCTACCATTTGAAAAGAGAGATAACAAATTTAAGTTTGAATTAGATTTAATAACCTTCTCAGGACCCCGCTCAGAGAGCATCAGTAAACTTTGCATCATTTTTTTTAATGATTTTCAAGCAGGGGGATTTATTTTCTACAAATACAGTTTCACATTATTTGGTTACATTTTACCAAAAAATTCATTATTATCCTCTTAAAATCATCCAATTTTGCAAACTCAGCTAATGAATTCCTAAAAAATATATCCCTTTAGCTTTTATGCACAATGCACAATGCACATGAATTTAATTTGTTAAATAAAAATGAAATAAATTTTTTTCCCTTTTAAACTGTATTTCTTTTTACTTGATAATAAATAAAAGATAGAAGAACAAAAAGATGAGTATAAATCCAAATTTATGCATCATTCATCATTCTTCTCATGTTTTCTCGGGTCTGTTTGCCTATCCTTTTCTGCTGTTCTCTTGTGAGATCGCGTGCATCAATGAGAACATCCTGGTGAGGTACATCAGGGATTGCAGGAGGGAGACTGAGATCTGGATGATTATCTGGCATAATTTCTCTCCATTGGACTGAGAAATTATGCAGGACTGCTGTGCCTACAATAACCTTGTAAGCATTTGGAAGATGAACCCTTAGGCAACGAATAATTGGAAATCTCCGTTTCCAAATTCCATAGATGTTTTCAGTCATTTCGCATCGTGCTCCTGAAAGTCTTCTGTTAAATAACGCCTTGTTCCGATCCCGGTTTGACTCAGTGGTTGAATAAGGGGTGATTATCACATCTGAGATGGGAAAAGCTGAATCCCCTAAGCAAATATTTCTAGGAAATCTCACTTTTTCCGTCTATTCCATCAAATACTCTCAAACTACAGATATAAATTATTTTTTAGAGCCAAAACCGGTATTTTTAGTGACCCAAAAGAAACTGTCAACTATGATGATTTATGAAAGATACAATTTTATATTATCGATGTCAAGATTTTCCCTTCGTTCTCGAATTTTAATTTAAAAAGTCAATCCACTAAAAATACCATCATTACACAACAAATATTTCTAGGAAATCTAGACTCTAAATACGCTTTAACACCAGACATTTGGTACACTCCCGCATCATGGTAGCTTCCAGGGGCATTGTAAACAAGGTTATAGATGAGTTTATCGCAGCCTCCAGTCACCAAAACATTGAGGGAGTTAAACCCTTTCCGGTTGATGAAGACAGCCGGGTCCACATTTGCTGGAATATCTCTGAATAACAAATTACTTTTTCTAAAACTAGTTGAAAAAAAATTTCCGAAAATCTTCAAATTTAAAACTTTGCATTGCCAAAATGTCTTAAGTTGTTGAAAAGCATAAAGAGAATTGTATAGTTAAGTTAACAAAAGAACTCACTGTCTCAAAAAAAAATAAAACTCGTTCGTAATTTTATTATACCTTGGCTTGTCGTCAAATGGTATATGACAGCCATCAATTCCGCAGACAACATTCCATAACTTGTAATTCTCATAGATATGAGCGGAATTGATTGCCATCTGGCCTCGGTCAGGCATTCTGATGACCTCGTTCCTTATTTCTTGAAGAGCATCAAGGAACCTATAATAAAAGTTAGCATGAAAATCTTTAAAAATGGACGAGTTATTTTTAATTGTGATGCGAAAAATAAGAGCTTCATCAAAAAGCAAGGGTGAAACTTATTTCACCAAAATGTTTAATTCTTTTTGCATCAGCAAAAAATATACAGTAAGAGAGAAAAAGCAACATTGTTTAATGAGAAAAATTCTGAAAGAGTTTCCAAATTACAGGGTGTCCCACGAAACCTGACAGTTGGTGAAAAGTTTAAAATGTCGTCTTCCATAGATAGATTAAGTTGTTTGAACCCTAAGAGAATAATATAAAAATGTTCATGGCATATAGTAAAATTGATTTCTAAGTAAAATATATTTGAGTAAAAGATTTTGGAAACTAAACTAACCGCTAAAAGTCTATAATATACAGTATATGGAAGAATCGACATTCAAAACTATTCACAAACTGTCATGTTTCATGGGACACCCTGTATTTAAAATTTTCTTATTTCTTTAAAAAATGTTGTCATCNGGGGGGGGGGGCACATAGAGTGAAAAATCCCCTGCATAGAAATTTTTCAACATTGATTTTATGTGTTAAACATAACTATTTCTTGTGGGTTAAATTTAGATATTATACCTGTATAGATTTTTATGAACCGAGGATGTTCCAGACTGAGAGCAGACACCTTCAACCCTTTGAAAATGGCCGGATCCAAGGATATCAAGTCCCGAAGTTACAATCTGCTCAGGAGAGAAGGGCAAACCCCTATTATTTTCAGCATCAGCATTTAGGTATGGACGAAGAATATCTGTTAACTTCCTCACTCCATCCTTGGAGAACCGATACCTGGCCTTAAACTCCCTTAAACACAATTTTAAATCTGAAACTTGAGAGTATTAAAAACATTAATTTGCTGTTTTTTTCTGCTAGTTTTGTTTGATGGAGAGATAAAGTAGCCCTTGTATGGTAATTGGAATTATTTCAATCTAAGTAACCCTTCAATTAAAAAAAAGTATGATGTCAGATTCACAATGGTACCATTTGAATCTTTGTCTAAGCGAAAGTTATAAAGTTATCACTTTTTTCATCTAAACTTTAATTATTTGCGATATTGCGGTTCTCGAAACAAAATGACTTGCGGATGTTTGCAGGAAAGAAGAACAAAGGAAATTAAGAAAAAAATTATGTAGAAAAACGACGATATCTTCTTGATTCTAAATTCGATAAAGGGCGTCATGCAGGGTAACATTGAGAATCGGACTGTTTTTAGAATTATATTCTTCCATCTACAATCTACATTCTTCTAAGGGTTTCACGTTTAGACTTCATAAAAGCTTTTTTTTTTTTTTAAATTTAATTAATCGACTTTAGTTAGAAATATATACTAGACAAGTTAAGGGTACACAGTACAAGTATAGGGGTACACAGTACAAGTTAGGGGTAAGGGGTACACAGCACAAGTTAGGGATACACTGTACAAGTTAGGGGTACACTGTACAAGTTAGGGGTACACAGTACAAGTTAGGGGTCCACAGTACAAGTTAGGAGTACACAGTACAAGTTAGGGGTACACAATACAAGTTAGGGGTCTACAGTACAAGTTAGGGGTACACAGTACAAGTTAGGGGTCCACAGTACAAGTAATGGGTCCACAAACTAATTTTCATTACTTCGTTTTACTTCTTTCAATGGATTTGGTAACACAAAAATTACGTTTAGAAAAATGTACTTTATTTTGAAATGAGAAATATGTGCCCAGAGCTGAAAACTTTAGAATGAAATATCCTTAATCCAGATCGGTTAATTAGTCTGGAGATTAATAACAAGAGGAGAACCAGCATTATTTAATCTCAAGATTAATAAAAAAGGAGATCAAGCATTAATCTCGATATCCACCATTCTAAAGTTTTCAGCTCTGGAACGATTTATTTCAAGTTAATTATTACTCGCCTAAAATCTCTAGTTTCCTTCGTGGTGGTAGACTTTCATTATCAATATAATGAAGAAATGAAGACTTTTCTACTTTTTGATTGAAGTTTAACAATGTTAATCAGATTTATTTTGAATCACAAGTTTACAAATAACTAAAGAGAAGCTTTGTTTCCATATTTTTGTGTTTCCATGCTGTTTAACAGCTTCATATGAATCAAAATTGAAATTAAAAGTCGTCTTTATTATATTGATATTAACGCCTACCATCTACATAAATCTCTGCAACCTTAAGTCTTAATCCAGTGATATTCGATTAGATCCTTTACTCAAAGGCTTACATCATGCCTCACCAAGGAATTGAGTCTTTGCAACAAACAATGATTCTCTAATCCCTTATATTTTGGCAAACTAATGTCATAGACCTTAGATATTTCAAACTATGGATTCTGTTATATCTAAGTACAGTGAAACCCTTAATAATCAAATGTCGTCTTGACAATTTTTCAATGAGTTTTATACTATATTACGTAAACTTCAGTTTTTGCAAAAATAAATAAATAGCCATGAATATGCAGGAACAGTTTTAAAGAGTTCCATTCCATATAATCATTTAATTAAAAAACTAAATATTTGCAACATTCCATTATCAGAAAGTGAAGAATACGACATTTGATGAATTCTTTCGATGTATTCGTTATTAAGGGTTTCACTGTCTCAAAGATTTACACCACCAGGTTGTGAAGATATAGAGTTTAGAAAATATGTGTTTTGGAAAAAACTCAATTCCTTTTTTTGCTTTTCAGTAAGGTTTGACAATTCCTTTCAGAAGTAGTTTCTGACCCTCATCCCTCCATTCTCTTCAAACATATATTACAACATCAAGTCAAAGGAAAACATGCAAAATTCAACATTGAATGGTTTCTCGCAGGAGCACTTCCTACAATATGTGATTTGAACCCACCCCCCTTTCCTCATATGCGTTGGCATCATGGAATAGCATAATCACGCGAGGTTGCCCAGAAAGGGGGTCGGCATGGGTACTGGAAAAGGGTAAGGTAGTCATACAATTCTAGTGATTCTAGCTTCTGTACCTTGCCTACGTCATAACTCGGTACAGGGCACTGGTCCTAGAACTGTCTTGGGATAAGATCTGTTGTAGGCGAGTATACCCATAATTGTGATTGGCATTTCTTTGCCGGTCTGGGAATTCTCCACCAATAGTTTTAATCAGTGATGTCAGACACATACAGATCTTCCCTGTACTGTATCGACCTTTCATTCGTGCGCAAGCCTCGTTGCGATACCCTATTCCAGTACCCATGGGGGTCGGGGTCCACAACATCTGTGTACTATACTGAACAAAAAACTCTTGTCACTTTCTTCTCAACATAACATTTATAACATTTAAAAACTGTATTCTGTCAAAGTTTGCTTTATTAAACTTTGCAATGTTCTCATCCCTAAAAAATTGGTAAAACTAACCAAAAACTATTGTTTAAATATTTCCGTTTTCAGATCATTATAGGTTCTTATTTTTCATATATTTTCTGCCAGGGTAAAAGTTTGGGATAAGAATGAAAATGCAAATCACACACCCTTGACCCTTCAGTAAAAGTAAATTCAACCTAAAGTCTGACCGCGTCAACTTTACTGCACCGGCTATTCCTATTGAGTGTCTGCTTCATTTACCCAATGTTTGGGTGATACAGTACAATCTGGGACCGGAAAGGTTCAATGCTGGAAAAAGGAGTAACAGTGTAGAGGGACAAGGGTATTGAACCCTCTTTCTTAACTAGAGAACGACATTTATCTTGCCGGCAGAGAAAGCAGATTGTCGGCGATCCTAGCCCCAGAGTTCCATAGGGGAGTCAGTTAGCACAAATCATCTGATCAGAAGAGTCAAATGCAAATATATTTGCCCCAAGCGAATGTTGTGTATATTTAGAAACTTTATTTGGTCCAACTACAATCGTTTGTATCATTATAATTTAAATACAATGTGTAGAACTCAAAGAATAGGAGATGCTTTAAAAAAAGGACAACAAGAAGCTGGACAGTAATCTACCAGGGACGCAATTGGAGGGGTATTTGTTCTCCAAACTAATGATCCCGATTAACTGTGGCTTCGGAACATTCAACACATAAACCGTCACCCAAAATCGATAATAATGAAAATCTCTTTATTTCCTGAAAAATACATTTAATTAATACGGTTACATATTGTAAAATTAATGTTTATAATTAAAAAAAAGCTTACTATCTATTATCAGGAAGACAGGGGCAAATTGGATATAAACAGTACTAAAATGACGTTTTTAACTTCTGAAATAAAATGGCAATTGATTTAAAATGAAAATCACTGTTTTTTATAAGTTTTTTTCTTTTGTTTAACTTTTTGAACTGTATTGTTGCACGTGAAGTTGTATGTTTGCAACCATGCTTTGTTACTCACTCAATCTTGGCTTTTTAGTACTGAATTCTTTTCAAGTCTATACAATGTTAGACAATAAAGCCAATGTTAAAACATTAAGAATTATTAGTTATATGAAATACACATTTAGTTTTTAAATGTATTTTAAAGGTGTAAAGGCAAAAATCGTAATTTTCTCTTGAATGTCGTCTTCAACAAACAATTATTGTTTACTCAAGACATAGATAATACTCAACGCTTTTTAATCAAAGACATTAATTCAAATATCAGAAAATGTGATAAAATTGTGTTAAAATGGTTAAAATTTTAGGGTGAGTCCCCATGCAGGAGTCCACTCCGTGCATGACACTGGCTCAGTCATATATATATACCCAAATAGATTCTAGTAACTATAGATAGCTATAGCAACGTAGAATTTGTACACTAAACAGCTGTATTCTGACGTCACAAGTGTCAATACAGTTTTTGTGTCCGAAAAAAATTCAGCCCATTCGGTCCAGCCGTTTGGCCGGCCAACGGGAAATTCATATGAATGAATGTCTTGTTTAATATTATATAGATAGTGATAATTTTAGAATAAAGTGCTTATCTCACAGTAGAATAAGTGCAATTTTACGTGTTCTTTATTTTCTATTTTCACACTTTATTTAATCTTGGAAAACTTGTCAACCAATTTGAGAAAATATCGTTATCCTTCTTATAATTGACATTGTGTATAATTCAAGGAGTATAGCCTAAAAGGGAGATACACACGACACAGCCCGCCCTACCATATGATTGTACAAGCTTTGCAGACGGGGTTCTCTATTTGAAATAGAGTTTTTAAAGGTTTCCTTTTAACTTTTTAAATGTGGTTTTTTACTATACCATATTAAATAAAACCAATTTTTATATTGCCAATATTTTTGCATCCCAATGAAATGTATTTGTTTGCTTTATTCAGCCTAATTTTTTCCTGTTAATGTAAAAATAACATATTCTGAATACATACGCGGTATTTGTATCAGACAAATATTTCATATTCAAATGAAGTACCGTCTGCAAAGTATGTATCAAATGGTTGGGCGGGCCGCGTCGTTTGTATCTCCCTTATATACTATACTCCTTGGTACATTAGGTCCATTTCTATGTTGCCAACTCTGCCAACTTTTGTACTTAATAATCTATTTGCTTATAACAATCATAGACAGTATAGACACTATGCAATATGCATTGCATACATAGTACATAAATGCAAACAAAAATGTATACAATTATGACGGTTTACTTTTTATAATATCTATATCATAAAACAAGACATGATCGTACGTATATGTTCCCTATAGCCGGTCAACCGGCTGGACCGAATAGGCTGACATTTTTGAGTAATTACGCAAGGGTAACATAGGCTAAAAAATTGAAATTTTATTTTCAAAAATCGAATTTTTTATTGAAAAATCGAAATTTTTTCTTCAAATAAATGGAATTAAAAAAAATCTATTTTAAAAAGTTCACTGGCAACGCCGGGCACTTCAGCTAGTATTGAATAAATATCAACCCTATTCCTTGAAACTTAGATATTTTGCTCTTTGATATTCAAAAACCTGAATTTAAGTAAAAGTTTTGCATCTTTAGAAGATGGATGAAAGGCTGTGTTGCGGCAAATGTGTTAAAGGTGAAATATCATTAAAGGGACTGTTATAGGCGGTTCTGGGGGGGGCACACAGTGGGGTATTTTAGGGGTCAGGGGGGAAGACTTTGTTAAAGCAAGCTATTTCGGAAGAAAAACATTTATTTTATAGCATAATTACAAGAAAGCTGCAGCGGTTTCGGGATAATCTAATTATACAAATAGATTCTAACCACCATATATAGAAACAATTTTGGGGAGTCGGCAGCACGCCAAAAGCTTGATTTAGTCAGAGTAGCGTTTAGAAAAATCATATTTAAGAGTTTTCAATGAAATAGCAGGATTTCGGTCAAAATTCTTTACTAAAACATAACATATTTAAACAACTTATAGAGACTTTTCTTAAAAAAAATTCTTGAGAGGCCAAGCCTTATTTGACATAAATAAGAGGCTTATGGGCAGCAGTCCATTATCCGCACAAGTTAATTTTTTTGAAGATGACACAGGATCCTCTTGGAAATGACACAGGATCCTCTTGGAGGTGACACAGGATCCTCCCGGAGATAACACAGGATCCTCTTGGAGATAACACAGGATCCTCTTGGAGATGACACAAGATCCTCTTGGAGATAACACAGGATCCTCTTGGAGATAGACACAGGATCCTCTTGGAGTTGACACAGGATCCTCTTGAATACGAAACGAGATAACACAGGATCCTCTTGGAGATAACACAGGATCCTCTTGGAGATAACACAGGATCCTCTTGGAGATGACATAAGTTCGTCTTGGAGTTGACACAGGATTCTCTTGAATACGAAACAGCTGATCCTCTTGATGATTCACAGGATCCTCTTGGAGATGACACAGGATCCTCTTGGAGATGACAAAGGATCCACTTAGAGAAGACACATGATATGGAATGATAAAGGATCTATTAAGATGGAATTACCAAAAGTTAAAGTTGAAATTAACAAATAAAATATATCAATAGAGGCCCGTAGCCAGGGGGGATGTCCCATATAAAAGAAATTGTTTTCATAAGTTTCTAAAATCTAGTTATAAATTATATTCGAGAAATTCCTAAGAATTCTCTGGAATTTTTCTCATTAAATTCCTAAGAATTTCTCCGGAATACTTCTCCGGAAATTCCTGAGAAAATCTTAGGACTTGGTCACCATGTTTACGGATTTAAAGGGAATTTATTAAGAGAATTAGTTTCAAGAAATTCCTGGGAATTTCTCCGGAATTTCAACCCAAGAAATTCCTGAGAAATTCTATGGACAGTACAAACAGGGCTGCTGCAATAGGGTCACCTTGCCTACATCTGGAGATATCGAAAAGCTCTGATATATTGCCTGCATGGTTTACAAGCTTTAATAATTATTTCCAAATCCGAAATAAAGAAGAGTATTGCCAATTTAAATTTAAATGAGAATGATTTATTTAATGATTAAGCGAAGAGAAAGGCAAGTTTACATGGTTGCAGGGAATAATAATCTAGGAAACATCATATACAGTAGAATTTTCGTACAGTCGTCTCTGAAGTCTCATCGTGATGCTAATCGATTAGACTAACAGCCGATTGGACTAAAATACAATTGAACTAAAGTCAGCTCATCACAAACCGGTTTTTAGTCCAATTGAACTGATTAAACTGAATTTGGTAAAAATGCTTAAAGCTTTATTTGGGGGATAATTTTAAAAAAATTGAAAAATTAGGTCAATGAAAAATATAGTCCCTTTTAACGTTAGTCCAAATGAACATTAGTCCAATTGATACGACACCCTCGTCAATATTGGGTAACATCCTAAAATGAATATCGTCGTTATTTCACTAAATGTCGTCTTATATGTGACGTATCTCAGGTTTGACTGAGTTAAATGTTAAATGCCCCACAACATTCTTATTTGTGTGAGCACAAAAGAAAATTTTCTAAATGTGAATGTGTTATTAACGAAAATGTAAAATATATAGATTAAAACAATCTTTTTGTTTGATGTTCGGGATAAACCAACAAAATTTATCATCATTGAAACGTTCGTGATATTAATATTTTTTTACTTTTCTGACTTTCTAAAATATTTTCACCACGCCGAACTTGATCTGAAATAATGAGCACCATATCGTCTTAGAATTAGATTTGATTTTAAGCACGTTAGTTTTAATATTGTATACTGGGTCAGACACAATCTGTTTCAACTCGGATATACAATATATGAAGGTCTTGTTGGAGGCCGCACCTTATAAGTAGTTTTCTTACATTTTGTCTAACTTATACGCAGCGCTTGGCCCTACAGTTTGTTAAATCTCTGCTGCGGTGTTCGGCCAACAAATTGTGTTATCTTAACAGCTATTCCCGTCTCAAATTCGGCTCAATCCTAGAATAAGATTTTTGGGCCCCGCCGCCCTCTCCTCCTCCCCTTTTCATATAAAAAAACTAATTAGTATTGTATCAGGGTTAGGTTTGGATAAGACAAATTATGGTCCGAGCGCTGCGGCATACGACTGGTATGAAAATCCTTGTCTGGGAAATTGCTCTTATTATAATAAAAGAAGTGTACCTTCTAGAAAAATGGGAGTCAGGTTAAAATGAGGGAAATATGTTTAGCAGGCGCGGTATTAAATATGCTAAACGCAGTCTGTTCTTTTTATTGGGAATCTTGTTCTTTTTTCTGCTTTCATTTCTTTTCACGGACAGGTAAACCAACATATTAAATAAATAATGTCACTTTTATTCACAAACATATTTTCGTATTTTGGGGCATTTTCCTATGATATTTCATTCAACATGTTTTATTATATAAATTATAGAATTTTCGCTTCAGTCTGTAACATTTGTTAAACTTATTCCGGAACCTTTAACGCGCATGAGGAGGATTCTACCTTTTTCGCATGAGTACGGATGTGGGGGGGGGGGGGTAAACTTGTTGTTTGGGTAAACTTTTAATAACCAAAGTATTCCGATTTATTATTAGAAAGACGACATCTGAACAACATTTGCCCACCAAATTTGTTAAAATATTTTAGTTGGAGAAGTCAGTAAAGTTCGGAACGTACAATTTTGTTACTTCTTTAAATTCGAGAGATTTGAAAAATAGCAAAAAGTCGCTGAGCAACGCAGACGTTGTTCATGTCTTGTTATTACTTAAATCTTATCCCAGTTATCTAAGTAGTGCTTAAAACATAGGTTTAAAATTAAGTTTTGTCTCTAGTGGACGCAAGAGGTTGGAGGGAGGAGGGGGTGAAGGAGGAGGGAATGGGGGTGGTGATGGAGGAGTACAGGAAATTAAACAATTAGAATCTGATCTAGCACCTCCTTACGAGGGTCCGAGTCATCCTACAAACACTAGGCAACAAATCAAATTAACCTCATACTTTGTAGATTTCTAAAAATACCCCCTCCCCCACTGGTCTGGGAATTCCACGATTTGTACATAATTTATAATTTTAAATTAATTATTGAACATATTCATCTAATAAATATTTTTTACCTGAAAAAAACGGGGTTATTTAAATTGTACAATCAGGTTGAACACTAATGTACATATATTCTACTATGGTTGGTACGGTACACCTGCCGTAGATGGAGAATGGGTGCATTGGAATCATAGGTATTTAGGTAAGATGATTTTTTTATATTTTATTTTATTTAAAATATCAACTTTTATTGTTAAGTATTTTTTTTTTTTTTGGGGGGGGGGGTTATAAACGAACAAAATACTCTTTTGGACTTATTCAACCTGGCATATTTTTCACTGCTACTGGTACTGTACTTAACGAGTATTTTGATCCAAATACATTTTTTTTTTTAAAAAAACCTATATAATATTTTTTCCAGAGCAATTTAAGTTCAGCATACAACTATGGTTGAACCGAACGAGATTTTAATCGGTTTGCATCCCTGACTTAATCTATATTTCAGAGAACTGGGATACGTCTGACAAGAAAGTATATCCTACTGGAGACCATCAACCTCCAGAAGATATTGGAGCTAACTTCTACCCTTCACTTGGTCCATATAGCTCCAGGTACTGCAGAGTGCAGGGCTTTATATTCTCAAATATAAAATTAAAGAAATAAAAAAAATTAATTTGTCATTAGTCAGGACCAATATATTTTGAATTTTATTCTGTAGAACGATTTTGTAGAAAGAAAAAATTAAAAACATGCAATTTTTTCCCAAATCTTTTAAAACCAATTTTCCCTCTTGTCGTTAAAATGGGAGTAATAAAACATGTTTTTGATTTATTTCCCTTTTTGATCTTTCTATTTTATATTTTGTAACTTATCATATTAAAAATGTTAAGGAATGAGACTGTCATTGAACAACATTTTAAATGGATCAGTGATGCAAATATTGGAGTAATATCTGTATCCTGGTATCCTCCAGGTTAGTTTATATATCCAATATTATCCCCCAGGTTGAATTAAATATCCAATAGATCAGTGTTTCGGATCCGTATCATTTTGATGCGGATCCGCATGCGTGATGATGGATCCGGATCCTGACTCTGATACGGATCCGGATCCGAGGTAACTTTTGATTCTGTGAATCGGATTTTCTCTATTAAATGTTATGCAAGGTTGTAATTTATAAACTATATTTATTATATATTCCGAGTAATCATAAAGTTAAAAATGTCGTCATTACTATTATATAAATGTAAACATTAAATTATTAAAGATAATTTTGAAAAATTTTCGTCATATAAATAATACATTTACGAACCATTTTGATTTATTTATTCCATGGTTTTGGTTAGTTTTTGGCGCTACCCGGATCCATATCAACGATTCCTGATACGGATCCGGATCCGACCAAATGATACGGATCCGACCGGATCCGGATCCGAAACGCTGCAATATTTGAATAATATCTGTATCCTGGTTTCCTCCTGGTTGGATTATCTATCACCTCATCTATGAAGTAGGTTTTAGAAACTGAGACACCTGAGGTTGTTCAGATTCTGAAAGGACACCATGTCTAAACCTAGCATGTAGATTTTTAGAAATCCCTGTCGAGCCCTTCTTTTTAGAAAATTTCATTTATTGTTTTGTAATTAGGACTGAAAAAAGGCGTTGGACTCAAAAGTTTTTGTGAGATTATTAGGCAATCCAAAGTGATTTGAGCGTTTCTGCATTATTATTATAATCCTATGATACATTTATCAATGTAGAATTAACAAATAGAAAGAAATTAACCATATTAACAATGTTTTATAGGGTTTAAACCTCAAATGATAAAAATTGAAGCACATTTTGATGTATGCTTAAATCACAACGGTGCCTTTGAAGCTATATCTTAACAAAAATTTAAAGATATTGTCGTTTTTCTAAATAGAAAAGTATTTAATACTAACAATTTCCTTCATTATTTTTGAAGAATTAATCCGCAAGTCACTTCTACAGAGAAATCGCAATTGTTGGGTCATAAATATATTTGTATGTTAGGTCTTTGATCTATATATTTGTATGTTAGGTCTTTTTCTACATATTTGTATGTTAGGTCTTTCATCATTTGTATGTTAGGTCTTTTATCTATATATTTGTATGTTAGGTCTTTTATCTATATATTTGTATGTTAGGTCTTTTATCTATATATTTGTATGTTAGGTCTTTCATCTATACATTTGTATGTTAGGTCTATCGGATGAAAATGGGCCAAAATCTGACGAGCTAATACCAACCTTGCTCCGCATAGCACAGAAATACAATTTAAAGGTGATTACTCTTTTTAACTATTATTCTAAAAAATATTATCTTATAAAAAAAAAATTTATACAAAACTTGTCTCCGTTTAAGCTTGGTTTAAGACAGAAGTTGAAGGTCAATTTTATGCAACATAACTTACACTAGTACGGCTTTATGACATCGTAGATCTGCTAGTTTTTGATATTACGAAAAAGTATGATGGAAAAATTATAATTGAAAACATGACAGATTTCAAAATAAAAAGTAAATAACAATAATTTGACATGTGATGTATGATTATGATTTTCAGTCGATAATATCCAGGTATGTTTGCACGTAGAGCCATATAAGGAGCGCAGTGCAGAAAATTTGCGTAAAAATTTGCAATACGTTTATGATACATACAGCATTCATCCCGCGTACTACACTATCAGGGAACTCAACAGTATTTAATAATATTTCGAAGCAAACTATAAAAATCCAACCAATACTAACTTCATTAAACAATTTTAGACAAACAGGTTTTTAAACAAAAGTTTGTAAAAAACTGTTGTGAAAACATTGTAAAAAACAATTTAAAAAAAGTTTTTACTAACTGTTGTCTAGAAAACAGTTGTAATCAAACAGTTTTAAACAAACAGTTGTAATCAAACAGTTTAAAACAAACACTTGTAATCAAACAGTTGTAAACAAACAGTTGTAAACAAACAGTTGTAAATAAACAGTTGTAAACAAACAGTTGTAAAACATCAGTTTTAAAAAAAAAGTTTAGAAAAAAACAGTTGTAAACAAACAGTTGTAATCAAACAGTTCTAAGCAAACAGTTTTAAACAAACGGTTATAAACAAACGGTTATAAACAAACAGTTATAAACAAACAGTTATAAACAAACAGTTGTAAACAAACAGTTGTAAACAAACAGTTTTCAACAAACAGTTTTAAACAAACAGTTTCAAACAGACAGTTTTAAACAAACAGTTTTAATCGAACAGTAGTAAACAAACAGTTTTAATCAAACAGTTGTAAACAACCCGTCCTCAAAATGGAGGCATGACTCAAATTTGGTTAGCTGCTGGGATGATTTGATTTGATTTGATTTCATTTAATTTCATTTCATTTCATTTGATTTCATTTCATTTCATTTCATTTGATTTGATTTCATTTCATTTCATTTCATTTCATTTCATTTCATTTCATTTCATTTCATTTAGCTTTTTCTTCAAAATATATTTCCTTGGGGTTTGCATAGGGTGTACTGTTAATTGTAGTCGAGTTTTAATTTAAAAGTGGAAAGATGGCGTCATGCTTTTATTTTAAAATGTCAGATGCATTATTATTTTTGACAGAAATTTAGCATTATTTTGTGAAAAAAAACACAAGCCCCATGTTTAATATGATTTATAATGTTTAAGTGGCTCTCTGCGTAAATAGTAACATGCGATATTCATGGTTTATTTTAAATCTCTGTCTGAGCAAAAAGTAATAGGAATATCCTTGCGTTTTTATCTAAAAATTGATGATTTTTAATTTAAGTTTATCTAAGTAATATGCAAATATACGTAGCAGAGACAAGAAAGTAAATTGGCAGAATTTACCCTATTTTTAATAGAAAACTGTATATATCTACATCTTTGTTATCGGATACATGGCTTTAACTTTTACTTATTAAATTGCGGGTCAGTTAAAAGTACGTTGATTGTCCCTTTCAACTTTTTTGTTATATTTTCTAGAATATTTTCTAGAATATTTATTAGAATATTTTCTAGATATCTAGCAGTGAGTGGTCCAGACTGTTCTCTAGGAAAGGAGACCTTACAGTTAGGTAAACATAAACCCAGTGCTTATTTATTTCATTTTATACGGATCCGGATTAGTCACGTGATAAAAAAAATCCGGATCTAGCTTATTAATTTTTATTCAAGTTTAAGCCATTTCTTTTTCTAAAAGAAATTTCCAAAATATTTGTTTTGTCTAGAGTTGATAATTTTTGTCTATCAGGAGGTTTTACATTTTAGATTGTGCTATAGAAGCGAAACGTTGTTTCCTTCTATTTTGGTTACTATTTTACCCCTGAGATCCGACTACCTGGATTCGAATATTTTTTTAATCCGGCCGGATCCGTTTTCATAATTCATAATGCCAAAATGTTGTGGCTATTACGTTAATAAATTTTAATTTTTTTCCAGGGAAACGGAGCTGGATGGAATTTTTATTGCTCTTCTAGGTAATATATAAATTATTGGATTGGCTTAAATGGTTTTTTTCCGATTTGTTTCTCAAGATTGAAGGATTGACAGCAATTTTATTTTATTTTCGCCCCCCCCCCCACCCTCGTGTTTTAAAGCTGAAGCCTTCTACCTAGGGGTATATAATTTTAAGAAAAACACCCTTCCCCCTCCCTTCAAATTGAAGATACCCACAAACCTCCTAGTTTTTAAGCTATTGATTTAAAATATAAAATGCATCTTCTTTTGTTAGTGTGAATATTCTATGATAGAAAAATTTCTTTATTGAGTATTACTCCCCCCCCCTTCCACCTCATCTTTATTCTTGATTTCTGCAACCTCCTTTCCAATTTTTCTATTTAGAGAGACAAAAATGATATTTTTTTCCGCGGCTTAAAAATTGGGAGAAGCTCAAAGGCTTACAAGACAGAGAGAAAGTCTGTTTTATCCGCGGTGCTCGGTCCCCTAGCCTGTCCTAGCCGCAGCATTCGCCCCCCCTTGGCTGTCTTAGCCGCAGCGCTCTGCCCAGAAAGTGTCTTGACCTAACCCAAGGGACTATATACAGAAACGCCCAACTCATATATACGCAAATTGTGTACTGTGCTCTGTGGGAGGAATGTAAACAAACCCAGTGCCCCCACACAAGTTGAAGGGAAAGTAATAAAGCTCTGATGTGATATTACAGTCCAACAAAAACAAGTTAATATATCAAGTTAGAGCGAATACTTATGATTTTTGGCTTTCTGGTCAATATGGAAAATACAATAGCAATATATTCTTATTCCACCCCTTAGGCCATTTTTCCTCAAAAATGATGCTTTGCAGCTGAATTCTTTGTTTTGATCTCCTCCCACTGCAGTACACAGATTTGACGCATCAAATATGGCGGTTCCTGATATATATATTTCTTGACCTAACCTAACCCTGAAGTATAAACCAATCTCTCTTTCTTGTAATTCAATGCGGCAAGCGCGTAACTCCTTTAAGCAACTGCCTTGAACATTTGATTGTTATCAGTTGAGATGAAGCATCGGTACGATATCAAGAAATCTAGTTTTGATGGCTTCTACACCTACTTTGCATCCAACGGTTTTACCTACGGATCAACCTGGAAGAACTGGAAAGGATTGGCAGGTCATTTTATAATTTATTAATTCGATTAGAGGACAGCACTTTTATGTTGTAAATCTGTAGATCACACATTGGTACCGCCTAGCGGCCAGTCATGGATTCAAAGCACAAATCTCAACTGCTAAAAATTAAGGGATTATTAAGAACTGTCTATCTGTTACATCAAGTTTCAGCATAAAATTAAGCGAAAAAAGACGAATAAAAGTTGAAAAACTTAATTTACTATAATAAAAACTGTAAATATTCATGATCATGATCCGGGTTTGGATCCAAAGCATTGTAACGATTGTAAGTGTTGATTATGATTAGATTACGCCATGAAGAACTCCCTGATATTCCTGCCAAGTGTTGGACCTGGATACCTAGATACTAGGGTTAGACCCTGGAACAGTAGGAATACGAGGTAAAATTACTCGTCAAGAAGCAAGAAGGCCGTTATTCACCTTAATGGAAAAACCACCAAAAATATGCGGATCCACGGAACCGGATCCAAGGTGTAAAATATCAACCAAAAACTGCAAAAAAAAATCTTTTTTTCTCCTAAACCCCAAATCTGAACTTTTGAAAAAAGAGAGATTATAAAAATTTCCTCATTTCTGAATGGTTTATCAAGTTTTAGGATAAAATAAGCGAAAAAAAATCAAACAATTTGAAAATTATTTTTGTTAAAAAAAATCAGTAAATCTTAAAGAAATGACCTGGATCTGGATCCGGATCCAAGTGCGGATCCGGATCCGCATCAAAATTGAATGGATCCTAAGCATTGGTTACCAGTCTTTAAGTTATGTAGACATTCCTTTTAATCATAATTGAGAAATCTGAGGCCAAATTTAACGAATTTAAGCCGCATCTCAAATTTAAGACTTGGCTCAAACAGTCAAAAAACGGTATTCAGAGGCCGAATTTAAATTCTTTAAATCCGGCTTCATGCATAATTGTCAATTTAGCAGTTAAAATGTTTCAAAGGATTTTTCAAAAGATTTTCTGAGATGGCTAATTTTAAGGTTACGAAGAAATGGTTTGTATTACGAGATTGCGTGGCGAGCTGCTTTACAGACCTCAGCTAGATATATTTCAATCACAAGCTTTAACGAGTGGCACGAGGGAACAATTCAATTTGTGGTTGGGTGGTTGGGTGGTTGGGTGGTTGGTTGGTTGGTTGGTTGGTTGGTAGAATGGCTGGTTGGTAGAATGGCTGGTTGGTTGGTTGGTTGGTTGGTTGGTTGGTTGGTAGAATGGTTGGTTGGTAGAATGGCTGGTCACCTGATAAATTGATTTGTTTGACAGGGTACTCAGATAGAACCATGTATTCCCTACAGTAGTGGTAACTACACCTACTCCTCTTACTCTCCACACAAACCAGACAATTATCTACAGATTACAAGGAACTTTACATTCTATCCTTCCATTAATAAATCCTAGTTCCCTGCTAATATATTTATCTGCTCTATTAAATCTTATTTTATAAATATATATTATATGTTAAGTTTAATAGAATTTATCTGAACTTAGAATTTATGAAATAACGGAAACTTACCGTATGTTTCACTTTCAGGAGTCGGATTAAGATAATCCGTTTATAATTTGACGAATTTAGCTCACCCTTAGTTTCACCTCTTGATTCAAATTCCATCTCTATTTTTCTGTGATAATGTGCAATATTGTATTTTTGTCATGCATTTATTAAAAGGATTGTTTAAATATTAAGACATGGCTTGTTGTGTCATTTTAGGCTGAAATAGTCCCAAAGCAATTTTTTATTAGTACAAAAAGCTTGATTCTCAGAAAAGATGTTAGTATGCTTATAACAACTTTTTACTTATAAGGACTCCGGATACTAATCAGTGGCCGAATTTAAAGAATTTGAGCGGCGGTTTAAATTTAAGTCACGGTTTTAATATGGTTGGTTCCGCTTAAAATTGTATCAAATGTTTCAAGATTCAAACTGGCGCTTAATTTTAACCGGGTTTTGGCGGATTTAAACCGCGGCTCAAATTCTTTAAATTCCATCTCTGGATGCTAAAACAAAGATCCAAAATATTGATCCGGCATTCAGTTGAATTCAAGCTTTAAATATTTGTCTTTGATCTGGGGACAATGGAAAAATCGAGCTTCTCATGGAAAAAATGGATTTGAAGTAAAATTTCCCAATTAACTTGTTTTTAATGGGGTTTCTATGTTTTAATATCTAAACAAACCTTCTCTAACTCCTCATTAACCTGATTATTCGTAAAATGCGAAGCGAACTAATTTTGTTGTTTGCGTGAAATAGAAGAATAAGGTAAATTTTATTTATTAAAATCAGATAATATTAAATTCAAATATTTCAGAAAAGCATGAACAGATTGTTTGGAAAAGCAGCACCTAAAGTACCCCCTCCCAACCTAGGGTGAGTCAATTCATTTCTGTTTATATAAAGCTGCGATTAGAGATAGGAGAGATCTATTAAAGGCTGAAATATGCGATATTTTCCACAGCAGGTTTCATTGTGTAGAACTGGAGTATACGACCAATAAACAGAGCTCTGTATTCAGGGATATTTAAGGATCCTTTGGATACGAAATACATAACCTTCAAAAATAGACTGAAAAATTTTATGTTAAAAGTAATATTCTTTAAAACTTTTAAAATTAACCCATGAATGGTGATTTTACTCTACAAGTGGCCGTTAGATGGCAATAAAAAACCATTCGTGGAAATGTAGCATGTCGTGCCGGGACTACTATAGGACAGATTAGCCTAACCAGTGAGAGCTTATGACTGCGATGTATGTAACAGCCGATTCTAACCGAATACATTTGTAAACAAACGAGATATGTCTGAGGGGTGGGTTTTTGTAGCCCTTAGAGGTTGCAGACGCGTCATAATAGATAGATAGATAGATGTATATTTTATGTATGACACACTGTTGTGATGTGATATCCTTAATCCCGATCTGTTAATTAATCTGGAGATTGAATTCATGAGGAGAACAAGCAATATTTAATCTGGAGATTAAGAAAAAGAGTGGATCAAGCATTAATCCCGATATTTACCACTCTAAAGTTCCCAGCTCAGAATCGTTTGTTTTAATATTGCTTCCCCCTGAATATGCGTTTTCACTTAAAGTGAATTTTCACATTTGCCTATTTTTTCTCCCCGAAAATGTACCCAATTGAGTAATAGAAAATAATTTTAAAAATTTGCACTCCTCGCAATATAATCCTATTGAATTTAAAGGGACTGTGTTGCAAATGTGGACTCCAGAGCAGAATCTATAGATAAGAAAATTGCACGCTTAGATGCTGAGCTAAGGAAATACAAGGTTAGTTATATTCGAGGAAATAACGATCAATTTGACATAAAATGGAGGAATTTTTCATTAAAACTGATAAATTTAACATAAAAGTTAAGAACTGACCAATTTAACATAAGAAGTTAAGAACTGATCAATTTAACATAAGAAGTTAAGAACTGATTAATTTAACATAAGAAGTTAAAAACTGATCAATTTAATATAAGAAGTTCAGAACTGACCAATTTAACATAATAAAATGACCAATTAAACAAAAGAACTGATCAAAAACATCTAAACTGATCGTGATCAATTAAACATTAAAATTGATCAATCAATTTAAAATGATAAACTTTATTTGAAGAGAAAACTTAAAGTTTAACCAAAGAGAGAAATTGTGCTTCAACAAAAATATCTTAGACGATATAAACAAAAAGAAATTTATCTTAAAATTCTAAAAAGTTATGAATCGATTCGATAGTAAAAGGTAATTCTAGTTAAAAAGCTTGTTTCAAAACTAATTAACTGTTTTCAATGTGATCCATCAATAATGATTTTACAGGATCAAATGAGTAAGATGAGAGAAGGTCCGGGTAAGAACGCTGTCAAACAAAAAGCATTGAGAGTTCTAAAACAGAAGAAACAGTATGAATCACAGGTAAGATTACAAGACTGGGCTTTTTCTAGTAACAATTTTAGCTTTATCTCTGTAGATCGTTAAATTAAAATTTTGCTAATTTTGATAATTTTATTGACAAGTTTTAATTATTATTTTTGAAAGTCCATGTTCGTTAAGGACTTGACATTCTATTCTAAAACTTTGAAGCTGTTTGCAAATCCCCGCATTTTTTATTTGATTTGATTTAGGCGGATAATCTACGAAACCAATCTTTCAACATGGAGCAGGTCAACTACTCAACGCAGATGTTAAAGGTAGATTTTTTAAAAAAAATCTTAATTTTTGATAACATTTTATTATTTTATTGATTGGTTGTATTTTTGTGTAGGACACGAAGACGACAGTGAGCGCAATGAAACTGGGCGTCAAGGAAAGAAACATGTAAAAAATATATCTAGCAAGTTTTGTTAAAATCGGAGATCTAATTAAAGGATTTGCATTTTGTATTTCAAGTTACACAATAGCTTTGATTTACCTTTTTTCGAGATTTTATACTAATAATAAAAATAACAGATTTTCCACCACCCCTGAAAAGTTTTATGATTTTAGCGGGGGGGGGGGGGCGGGATTTTCTAGAAAATAAAAACTGCATATCTTTGAACCAATAATATTTGAAAGAAATAGTCAATGCTTCAAATTATTAAATGCGTGCATTTATATTATGCATTTTTTTATCATTCAGAACTTTAGGAATGGTTTATTAAATAGTTTTTCATGAAAATAAAGTATGTTTTGTTCCTGTGGTTTAGGAGATGAAAAAAGAATTTAAAAATGTGAATATTGATCAAATAGAAGACCTTCAGGTATAGATTACACTTTTACTCTGGTTGGGACGGGAGGGAGGGGGGGAAGTAAAGGGACTGTTGACGAAATTTTGTTTGCATTGCCGTTTAAAAAGTTGCTTGCCCAATTCACAACAGTACCTTTAATAACTATCTGGGTAACGATAAGGAAGATATTGGTTTTTATATCTTGAAGAAATATATTATGTCAACTGTCAACCTTAACTTGGTTGCTGAAATCTGGTAGTCGCTTACTTAGAGATTCCGAGCTCAGAAAATAACATTTTACAGAATGATATACAAGGGTATAAACAAAAATGTTATGGGGGAAAATATCATGAAGGGGAGGGAAATAAATGAGAAATGAGGGGAGAGGGGTTTAATTCTTAAAGAAATATACTCCTGTAATGGGGAAAGAACAAAATTAAATTTTTGCACTTCTATTTCAGGATGACCTAGCGGATATGTTGGAAGAGGCTAATGATGTACAGGAAGCTTTGGGCCGGTTAGTTAAATATATTTTACAAAAATAGGCATTTGTTTTTCACAGATGAGCATTTCATTTTCTCCTATTAATAAGTAAATATTCCTTAATACAAGGTACACAATTATTTTAAAGAAATTAAAGAAATTGATTTGGAGAAAATATAAACCTTGTTTGATATTCTTGTGCAGCAATTATTCTGTATCTAGATCCTACGGTATGCCTGATGTAGACGAGGATGAACTAGAGGCTGAGCTAGATGCTCTCGGGGATGAAATAGCTCTTGATGACGACGCATCATATTTAGGTAGAAAATCTGTTCATACATATTCCATTGTACACCCATAATATCCAAACCAACATTTAGACACATGAAATATGCCAAAAGTATTATAGAAGTCTAAAAAACTATTAAGAAATTCTCTAATATTTTCATAAATATTTATTAGAGTTTCACGAAAGCAAATTTCTGAATTAGTCAAATTTTTTATTTGTAGTTGATTTTGGTCCAAGATTTACGTTTATTTAGCAATATTTTCTCTCGTTACCTACGCTTTTGAGTAGTAGGCCTTTTAGAATTTTTTAAAATCTATTTTCAATGAATTGCTCAATACTAAAAGAATTCCTGTAGAACTAAAAATATCATAAAAATCTACCAATTGAATATAAACTGTTTAGACGACGCTATCAGTGCCCCTGCTGTGCCTGGCCGTGAACCTGGGGCTGATTCAGTTGCAACCAACAAGGACGGAATTGAGGTAAGTGTCAAATTTCTAATCTGCACATTTTTCATTTCACTTTTTTTCATCTTTTATATTTCATTTAACGTGTGCATGTTTTCGTCGATTTATTTCGATTTTGTCCGAATTTCACCAGTTTTATCTTTTAATTTTCAGGTGGATGAGTTTGGGTTGCCTAAAATCCCGGCCCAGTAGAACGAAGCCTTTGGTCTCAAACCTAAACCAACTAACAATATATTATTTAACCGCGCATTATCCATATTGTATTGTTCTATTTTGTTCTTAATTATGCTGAACTTATGTCGTCCTTATTATTATAGTAAACTCTGTGATACTCTTAATTTGTGAAAATTAACAGGGAACCTTGGACAAAGGGTTTTTTTTTTGACTTTAATATTTGATTTAAGATCCAAGATGATTATTTTATTTCTTTTTTCTTGAAAGTCTTTCCAGATTTCACCTGATTATCTTATGTTTATCGTATTTATGCAAAGCGAAAATTCTATTCCAGAATAAAGATGGCGACCTACCACGAGGTGCCACAGGAGGAAGATGCCGCGGAACTAACTTTTCCCAAAGAATTTGAAAACGCAGAAACCCTCCTCATATCAGAGGTGAAAATAGTAAATAATGCTTATTGCAACATACCAAATTTCATATTCTCTCTTTGATTTTAGTAGGTGTGAAACTAACATCAATTTTGCATCAATAATTCTTCATTTTTTTTTTTAGCTTTTCAAACTCATACAGATTTTTGCCTGTTTGTTTAGCTCAACTCACTAAAGTAAACGTAAATTAAAATATAACATAATGGGTTTCAAAATATCTTATAACACTCAATAAAAAAAAACGCTAAAATCGTAAAATTCTTTGAAAAGTTAAAAAAATCAAACAAACCGGTTTGAGAGATGTAAAAATAAAGTCATTAAAAGAAGTGTAGCTTAACCATGAATTTCGATCCATTTTTAAATATCGATTTACTAAAAAAATTAATGGTCATCAGTTGTTCGATGCACATTTTTATTCTTGAATTACTGAAAAAGTTTTTTTAAAGAATTAATTTTTCCTCGGTGAACGTTGTTTATAATTAGCTTTAGTTCTTTTTTTTGCTGGTGTATTTATGATTTGACATTTTTGATTTTATTTAGGTCGTCTTTGATTTGTTTTCTTATTTTTTTACGTCATAAAACCTAAATTGATTTGTTTTGTTGTAGGTTCACATGTTGCTTGAGCACCGGAAGTCCCAGAACGAACAAGTCGAGGACGAGCAGAAACTGAGCGAAGTGTTCATGAAGACACTGGGATACACCGGCAGGTAACTTTATTTTCTTTTCAGGGGCTTAAGGGAAACATTTTTTAGAAAATTTTGGCATGGATCAAATTCTAGCATAAGAATATTCTTTTTAGATTTTCCAAGTTTCGAAACCGAGAAACCATCGCTAGTATACGAGCCCTACTCATGCAGAAGAAATTGCATAAGTTTGAACTTGCTGCACTCGCAAACCTTTGCCCAGAATCCGCAGAAGAGGTATTATTTGTTGAGATATTATTGCAGAGGTAAAAAAAAAGTAATGGCTTAGAATTGATAATTGATGGGAGATGGTGGATGTTTGATGGTTGATGGTTGATGGGTGATGGTCGATACTTACTTACTTGTAAGTAAGTATCGACCATCAACCACTCACAAACCTTTGCCCAGAATCCGCAGAAGAGGTATTATTTGTTGAGACATTATTGCAGAGGTAAAAAAACGTAATGGCTTAGAATTGATAATTGATGGTTGATGGTGGATGTTTGATGGTTGATGGGTGATGGTTGATGGGTGATGGGTGATGGTTNTGATGGTTGATGGTTGATGGTTGATGGTTGATGGTTGATGGTTGATGGTTGATGGTTGATGGTTGATGGTTGATGGTTGATGGTTGATGGTTGATGGTTGATGGTTGATGGTTGATGGTTGATGGTTGATGGTTGATGGTTGATGGTTGATGGTTGATGGTTGATGGTTGATGGTTGATGGTTGATGGTTGATGGTTGATGGTTGATGGTTGATGATTTATAGTTGATAATTGATAATTGATGATTGATAATTGATAATTGATAATTGATGATTGATAATTGATAATTGATGGGTAGTAATTGATAATCGGTGATTGATGATTGATGATTGATGATTGATGATTGATGATTGATGATTGATGATTGATGATTGATGATTGATGATTGATGATTGATGATTGATGATTGACGATTGACGATTGACGATTGACGATTGACGATTGACGATTGACGATTGAGTCGATGGTCGATGGTTGATGGTTGATGGTTGATGATTGATGAATAATAGATTGATGAATAATAGATTGATTGATTGATTGATTGACTGATTGATTGATTGACTAGGCTCGAAGCCTGGTTCCCAGTCTGGAAGGACGGTTTTCCGAGGAGGAGCTCGGAGGTCTCTTGGAGGATATTCAAACTAAACGTTCCTTCCAGTATTAATATGCACCTAGATACCTTTAACTTAGAACAGAACCCATCTTGATCTCGTGAAATATTTTGGAATTTATTTCAGATTCCAGAATGTCTGGATTCTCATTTAAACTGACTAAAACTGTAGAGAAGAAGGTTCTTCAAGACTCAAGTTTAAGGAAAGCTTCAATGTTTTGTTTAAAGAAAAATCGATAATTAATGGGACTGTAATCGTATTTTCAAGTGACCTTTCATTTATAGAGTGGCATGTCCGATTAAAAATGATACCCTTTAAACTTTTGTTTGATCAAGGATTTCGTAAATATTCTTAAAGCGGGAAATTAAGTGCCAAGAAACCGCGCGAGTGTACACCAGCACGGAGTGTACGTTGTATACACTGTAACCTCGAGTCTCTCGGCACTCAATCTTCAACTATACAAATGAGGGTATCTAACTCATCGTTGTCCGGACAATGGTTTGCATGGTATCGTTGTGAATCGGACATGCCTCTCTAGAAAATTGAAGGTTACTCGAATTTACGCTTACAGTAAAACCGAATATGTTTCTTCTACTTACAGAAATTTTAGGCGTATTTTCATGTAGCCCTATTTAAAGTCCGATTCGCAATGGTACTATATTTACCTTTGTCTGGAGTGTCAGTCATCTCTACTTTTCTATCTGAGACTGAATATTTATTATTTTTAATGGTTGTTCTACATCAAACGGATTTATGATGTAGTGGAAGAAAAGGAAGAGAATTCAATGAAAAATGCGGGAAAATGTCGATGTTTCCTCATTGTTAATCCAATTAAGAACTTACAATTCTTTTAAAATATGGGTCGACAGTCCCATTAATAATCGCCCTCCTCAGAAATTGTCTGCAGGGTGTCTCAGAAAAACAATAATTGAGCTATGTTGCTTAGAGATGAGTCAACTAAGGATAATACTGAGGGACCAGACTTTATTAAAGATGTTCGAGACAATAAAATTACAGGTATGTTTTAATATTTCTTATGTAACTCTAAAACCTGTGTGTTAGACATGCGTATCTGTGTACAGTGTACATAAAATGTACACTGTACAGTGAACAGAATTTTGAATGATATTTTCGATATTTTCTAGACTTTAATTTTAAGCGATGCCCTGGAAGCCTAAAAAGCCGACTCAATTTTTAATCCGGGAGAGGGGGTTGGGGGTTGAACCTTTTTTAGGACTTATCCTTGATCTGGGGATGATCTCAACATTTAATAGGATCTAGTCTAGAAAAAAAATAATACTAAATCAGGCTCTTAGACTAGAGCACAGAATTCTGAAGATTTGAACCAGTTTTTTAGTCTTAAAAGGACTGTAAAGGAAAAATGAAAGGGGGTATAGTCTGAAAGCTAATCGCGACCCATGAAAGTTTTATCTGATGTTCTTGTCTCGAGAAATTGATATAAAACTGTTTTAAAATTATACGAAAGTTCATATATGTAAAATTTAGAAAATCTTAAATCTAAATCACGTGACCAGAACTATCACCAATGGCAGAGCAGTATACTGGTCACGTGTCTCCGCCTGTATCACGTGACCACTTTACTGCACTGCCATTGGTGGAATTTCTGGTCAAGCAATACAGACGTATAAATAATAGTATGAATTAAATCTATAAAAAATAGAAATAACAAATATAAAATTAGAATTGGAGTAAACCTAAGTTACAATTAGCTTTCTCTGGGATATCATCGTTTTCAGATTGGTTGCATATTTGCTGAATTTGATCTTTTTAAACCCACTACTTTTATTCAAAATTGTATATATATTAATTTTCGTATAAAGTTGACAAAGTTGTAAATCAGTTTCTCGAGATAGGAACATCAGATATAACTTTCATGGGTCACGATTGAGAGCTAAAGTGATTAGCTTTCAGCCTATACCCCCTTTCATTTTTCCTTTACAGTCCCTTTAACAGAATTTTCTGCGAAGTACACATCATTTCTATAAAAACTTTATTTTTTTATGTTAGGAACTATTATAAAGAAAAAGGAGGAAGATCTTGTAATACCCCTTATAGCCAAAAATAAATGGAGAGACAGAGAAAACCCTTTATCAGGTAGATTTTAAAAAATCGGTAAATTTAAAAAAATTAAGAAAAAAGTTTCTCCTTGTAGGGTAAATTGTAGTGACAAATACTCAGTCACCCCCTCCGCCCCCCAAAAGAAGAAATTCTTGCCTATTAAGAACATTGCTTTTTGGGAAACTTATCATCGTCTTTAATTTCTTTTAATACTGAATTTCAATTAAGATGAGTCTAAAGATACAAAAGTGAAAAAGAAAGAAGAGAAACCAGAGAAAGAAATGACGATAGAAGAACTGGCAGCTGAAGAACTTGTAGAAGAAAGCAGAAAGCAAATAGAGGTGAATTTTGCTTTAATTAAAATGACGTGTAATGTTTTTGAAGAGTTATTGATTATGAAATATTAATGGATTATTATTGATAACACCAATGAGACCAAGTAATTGGATTGTTCCGGGCAGATGCCCACCCACTGCCCAATTTTAAGTCTCCTGCCGGTTATAAGCCATAGCATCGGCTTCAACTTTATTAGAGGGACTGTAAGTGTAATATTAAGTGACATTCCGTTTATGAAGTGGCTGTCCGATTTACAACGATATCATTTAAACCTTTGTTTGATCAAGGATTTTGTAGACATGCCATTTCATAAACGGAAGATCACTTAATATTACGCTTACAGTCCCTTTAATAAAGTTGAAGACTACGCTATGGCTTATGACCGACAGGAGACTTAACACTGGGCAGAGGGCATCTGATAATTGATTATGAATTATTGATTAATGGATTATCATTGATAACACCAATGAGACCAAGCAATTGAACTGTTCCGGGCAGATGCCTACTGCCCAGTGTTAAGTCTCCTGTCGGTCATAAGCCTTTATTAAATGGACTGTAAGTGTAATATTAAGTGATCTTCCATTTATTGAGTGGCATGTTCGATTTACAACAAAACCATTTAATGCTTGATCAAGGATTTTGTAGATACTCTTATTTATATAGCGGGAAATGGCTGCCAAGAAACCGCGCGAGTGTACACTAGCAAGAAGTGTACGTAGTGTGCACTGTAACCTCGAGTCTCTCGGCACTTAATCTTCTACACAAATGAGGGTATCTACCTCATCGTTGTCCGGACAATAGTTTGCAGGGTACCGTTGTGAATCGGACATGCCTCTTAGGAAATGGAATGTCACTTGAAACTACGCTTACAGTCCCTTTAAATTACAGATTGTCATTTTTTATTATATTAATAAACATTAAACTTAACCAAATGATAAATTGGTCATTACAAATTGACGTTTTCAATATATCTTTTAATGACATTGTTTGAGACTTTTGATTTTGGTCAATTGAACATTTGGTTCAAACTGTTTGATCTAATGTGTTTGGAGACAATTTAATCAGACTATAAACTATTTAAATTATCAAATCAAATCAAATCATTAATTAGGCCACAAGTTTACAATATTCATATTAATAAAAATGACTAAATTAAGAGTGATTGATAAATTAATTATGACCAACTGCCAAATGGATTTTTAACTTTTATTTTGTGGCCGATTTTTTAATTGATTTTAACTTATTTATTAGTTGATATGAAATGATTGCTTAATTGATTAATTGATAAATGGATCAGGACTGGAGAGAAGGGGATACTGGACCGGAAGTGGACCAAGTCCCTCTCCTACTGAGTAAGTTATGAAAGCAATAAACCATAAATAATATCAAGAACCTCGTTTATGCTTAAGTCTGAGTTGATAAATTTTGAATGGACGGAATTAGTTATACTTGCCCCGTTTCTCTTCTTATCTAACTAATTTGCAGCGGAATATCTGAAATACTTATGTTTATGATATAAAATTCAATAATAAATGTGGGGATTTGACAACAGCCTTAAAGTTTCAGAATGGAGTTTTATTTTCTTTATCTGACCTATTGAACTGTTTACATTATTTCTGATTAATATCTTGTTCAGGCAATGCAGTACCTGAGGGATTTGAGAACGAGGAAACTCTTGATGTTAGTTTAAGAGCTGAGCAATCAACCCTAGAGGATTATGACAATATTCCTGTAGAAAAGGTGAACATAAATTCACAGGGTAGCTTTGTCAGCAGCGTGGTTATTCTTAAGATCTTTAAAATTAAACAATATTGAGCTTGTTCTGATTAATGGGGTTACATTAATGGCTGTATAAAATTACAGGATTGGTTTGATAAAAATATAGGAGTGCTTAGGATCCAATTAATTGTGATGCGGATCAGGATTCTGGATCCGCACTGGAAAAAATTGGATCCGGATCCGATGTACTGATTTTTTAGAAGAATTTTTGAATTATTTTTTTCCTTTTTTTAACATTTTTTAAATGCAACAACTTGATAAATCATTCATATTTTTGCGGATCCTAAGCACTGATTATAGGATTGTTTTTTTATTAAATTGCATAATTATTAAATTTCAGAATTATTAAATTGCAAAATCGGTGGTAATTAATGATCCCGATGACTCGGAGATAAAACATGATGAAAATTTCTCAGTGAGCGTCCCTTTAAAAGTGGAATGTACAATTTATTATGCATATATGGTACTGAGTCCTAGCACTGGGACGGTTCCGGTCAGACCGCACAGGAATAAGTCTCCTCCCGGGATAACGATTGGATCGATACATCGGTTGGACAGGAGCGCCGGCCCCAATTAAATTGACTGATGGGTTGTTCTTTAAAAATAAATATAATAATAAAAAAGAAAAAAGGGTTAATTTTGTGAATCTAGCATGCTGATTGCTACTCTATAATTAGAGGGTAACTTGAAATAACGTCAACAGCTATTTGTCAAGCTGCTGAATAATGAATGTTGTATCTATATATTATATATTTATTTGACTTTGTTTATTGTTTTGTGTGGTAAACTGTACAACAAACGTCATAAAGGATAACCTGATAAGGAAAAAGAATAATTTCTGTTCTAGTATGGAATGGCGATGTTACGTGGAATGGGATTTAAGGCTGACGAAGGAATTGGAGGATTCAAAAAACAGGTTTTTTTCTTTTCCTTCAAAATATACATACATAGATCGCAAACTTGTTGAAATTTTTTCTTCTACCAAATTTTACTTTGACAAATTTCAAAATGCGGAGAATTATTCTTTTGCTCTTAAATCTTAAATTAGAATTTTTAGATATATTTACTTTTCAGTATCACCAACTCAAACCTCTCTCTTTTTAGTATCACCAACTCAAAACTCTCTCTTTTTAGTATCACCTACACAAACTTCTCTCTTTTTGGTATCACCAACTCAAACCTTTCTCTTTTTAGTATCACCTACTTAAACCTCTCTCTTTTTAGTATCACCTACATATACCTCTTAATCTCTCTTTTTTTTATGGACCTCCCGTCAAGCCCGATTTCTAAGAGTTGAAGGATTGATCACAATTATTATCATTATTATTATTTTTATTATCTTTATTATCATTTTTTTCATTTTTTTCATTATTATCATTATTATCATTATTATTATCATTATTATCATTATTATTATCATTATTTTCATTATTGTCATTATTATCCTTATTAATTATCATTATTATCATTATTATCATTATTATCATCATTATCATTATGATTATGATTATTATTATTTTCATTATTATTATCATTATTCGAAGGTTGTGAAGACGATGGAACCTGTTGTACGACCGAAAGGTTTAGGTCTTGGGGCAACTAAACCTAAACAAGAAAAGGTAAATACTTTATAAGGAGTGTTTAAACATTTTGGAAATAGGTTTAGAACGATCCAAAATTAGAAAATAAATTATGATTCATTTTATTGAGTTTCCAAAATACCTTTGATATGATTTCATGAATACATTCTTTGAGAGAAATCATCCTTTCCCAATTCAAATCAAATGATTTGAAGAAATAATTTGAAGAACTTAATTTTTAATGAATTGTAATGTATAATGTTTTGTAAAATTCCATTTGTTTTTAAACATTGAAGCTGGAGTCTCAAAATTTTATTTTTTATTATTTTGAGAATTTGACAAATATTTCAGCAAGTTGTGAAGGAGGGTGAGGAGAAGCTGGTAATGAAAAGAGGAGCTTTTATAGTGATCATGTCAGGGAACAAGGAGGGTCTGTATGGGGAGGTCGAGGGGTTGGATGAGGAGAACGCAAGGTACGTCATAATGTCTCTGACCTCCTTAGGTTTGAAGACCTGTTAGGTCAAACAAGAGGTCCCTAACCTTCTTAGATTCTATATCTATTTAAGAGAAACTAGAGGTCCCGACATCCAAAGATTCCAGGCCTGAATTCAATTTAAAAATGATAACAGTGGGGTTTTAGAGAAGTTTTTTTCAAGTGGATCCCAGCCAGAAAGAGGGATGTGTAATTATTAACATACAGAGCGTCCCATATCATATTAGATTATCTCCAATCTTTAACACCAAAATAAACCCTTTATACTCGAAAACCATATCATTTTCCACAAGAAAATTCTTAAATAAGCCTTATGTTATTTTTCAAAATGATTCATTATAATGAAATTTTTTAATTAGTCCCGAAAATCGTAATTTAGACCCGTTCTCGGTCTAATACGATGTGGGACACCCTTTATGTCAGAAAAAGTGAAATTTACTGATGAAGATTGATTTTCAGTAGATTAATGTAGGGACGAAATCCATTTTTTATGTCACCTTCTCATTTATTGATTTTCAGTAGATTAATGTAGGGACGAAATCCATTTTTTATGTCACCTCCTCATTTTTTAAAAAGATGAAATATTTTGATACATAATAACTAAACGTTCATCTGTTTAGATCAGTGTTAAGTACAATATAATATTAGGAACATTTTGTGTATTTTTTAACATATTTAAGATCTTCTTTTAGCTGTTTAACTTTCAAAGTAACTATTCAAATTTTGATCAGGGTTGCATTATGGTTCAGGTTTTGGAAATTCACACCAATGAAAGTGAATTTTTGAGGTGTCTCCAATGAGTTTATCTAAAGGTCTCGTTCTTATTTTGATCAAACGAAAATTGCCAACCTCATTTTTTTAACAAAAATTGCCAACCTCATTTTTTAACAAAAGGTCTCCGCCCTAATTAGGGGTGTTATACAATAGAAAGCATGGTCTTGAATAACGTAAAACCTTGAATCAAATTAAATCAACTTTTATGATTTAAGATTTAATTTAGTTTATTTTCTAGAATAGTATTGAAGTTGGCGCTAGGGAATGAAAAAGTGAGCGTATCTGAGAATATAGTCAAACTAGTAGATAAAAAAGAATTCAAGGTAATATGGAATCACAATTTCGTTTTCTTCTATTCCAAAATGGAATTTTCAGAAATAACGGAAATTGTAGGAACGTTTGCCTTAATAAAATTTTGGAGAAAAGTAAATAGAGTCTTTTATTTTGAAAGATTAATTCCAACCAACCAAATATTTTAAACATATATAAGAGCTCTTTGCGCATATATAATTTGTATATTTAAAATATAATTGTATATGTTAGCTATTGCTGGACAACAAACGGCTGGACCAAATGGGCTGACATTATTTTAGGGAACCCGTGGTTCCCCGGGGGTAAAACAGGCTAAAAAATTCTAGTTATTTCTTCCAATTTTTTATTTAAATATTGTTTTTTATTCCACGGGCAACTTTGGGCACTTCCGCTATTGTCTTATATTTGATCTTTTCTATTTTACAAACGTAATATTTAAATGTTTAGGAGTGGGGGAAGATAGTGAACAAAGATAAGTTTAAAAAGTACAAAGCTGAACAGGACGATGCCATGGAGAAGGAGCGAAGTTTAACTCCTGATGCAATGGTGGTAGGATCAAGACACCGCTCTAGGTCAAGGTCAAGGGAGAAGAAACGAAAGAGATCAAGGAGTCCAGGGGTCAAAAGGTAAGACAGAAAATTCAGTTTAAATTCTGTATATTTCGCTAACGATAATTTTCTCTATTTGTTCACTTTTACAATGGAGAGGATCTCGTTAAAACAATTTAAATTGTAAAAAAAAATAGATTTTATTTAATTAGAGTTTACTTTATCATTCATGTTCGTTAGAGCTATCACGTAATCTAGACTTTACGAACTCCAGGCTAAGCGAGGGACAGAAATAAGACGACGACATTTTAAACAATTAATGGTTGTAAATTTGGACACTGTTATTTGAACTACTGATTCTATGAACTATTGAATATTTGAACTATTGATCCTATGAACTATTGAATATTTGAACCATTGATCCTATGAACTATTGAATATTTGAACTACTGATCCTATGAACTATTGAATAAACCCAAAGATAAATAGTGTATAGTATTTAGTAATAGTGACGTTTTAATATATATGGTTAATGTTGGATTAAAAAAAATAGTTACTTATTGTGGCACAAAAATTTTATTCCAGAAATTGTAATAAGAATTAAAGAATTAATATTTTTAATTTTTAGAATTAAGTCAGAGAAGAGGCCTTGGGTGCGTCAAGATCTACAAGTTCGTTGTATAGACAAAAAGTTAGTTTTCTTCAGATATTTTTTATTTTGTTTTGTTCTTATTACTAAACTATCTGCTATTTCAACTTTTAATTGTTGCTCTATCTGTAAGCAAGCATCTTCTCTTTGTACAAAATAAAACTATAACTAATAAAAAATCCGTGGATTTAGAAATATTTTTTACGCCTTTTAAAATTTTACAAAAATCAATAACTTTTGTAATTTTGAGTATCTTTAAAACCTTCCGGCCTTGGGGTAATGTGAGGTCCCACACAAAATTTAGGCCCGATCGGTTCAGCCGTTGTGACGTTTATTGGATTCAAACGGACAGACAAACAGACAGACAAGCAAAGTATATATATATATATAGATAAATTGAATAGTGTGTTTTATGTTACTTTAATTTGTTCCTTATATTTAGATATAAGGAAGGGAGATATTACAATGAAAAGATGGTTGTCATTGACGTTGTGACAAATAATAGGTATTTTTTTTCATTTTAACATGATTTACAGATGTTTTTTTCTTTAATTGAAGCATCTTGGGTAAATCATTAAATGCGTCCCTTTTTTTAATTGAAAATTTCTCAATTACAAACGTCTGTACTTTTGCTATAATATTTTGTTTTTTTATGTACAATTTCAACTTGAAGGGTTTGTACTTGTAGGCGTAATTTCAAGCGACCCTCCATTTATTTGGTGTCATGACCGATTCACATTGGTACTCTTGAAAAGCTTTGTCTGATCAAGTATGAATTAGAAAAATTTATGATGACGCAACTCTGCTATAACTTCACTTCTGACCTACGTCAAATCCGCTATACTACACATAAGACCTACTAGGAGGTGGATTTACAGCTCCTATATGGACTTGTGGCCGCAGCGCCTGGCCCCTAGCAGCGATCGGCCCAGAAATAGTCTTAACCTAACCTAACTCTCAAATAATACAAAAATATACAGCTGGCGTAGGTCCCATTGCAGTAGTTCGGAAAGTTAGTAGGTCAGAAGTTCAGTAGGGAGATGTTGCGTATAGACGATCTAACATCCATACAATATTTTGCGGCATTGAGTTGACCTGCCTATAAAATTAAGAGCCATAGATTTCACTGTACAGTTTGGTTTGTGATATACATTTAGAAATAATATTAAAATTTCGTTTCCCCCGTTTTATGAGAGAGCTACAGGTTGTATATTTTCAGCTGTGATTGTCGAACCGAGGAAGGCAAAATCCTACAGGGTGTTCAAACAGATAAACTTGAAACTGTTATTCCTAGAGATATAGGTGGTAAAGTTCAGGTGATTTAAATAGCATTTTTCATTATTTCCGTGTTTAAACCTGGTAACACGTGAACGTACTTAATTCTTTAGTTTACAAATCTTAAGTTCTTAATTTAGTTAAGAATCAATGAATCGGTGTCTAGGATTAGTAGCGTAAATAAGGGGGTTGTTGGGGTTACTCAACCCCCCCCCCTCTAGAATTTTGGGTGTAATTATCTTTTAAAATCTTGGGGACATGAACATCCCCGTTTATGGGGGGGGGGGGGCGGGCAAAATAAAATGTTTTAAGATCAAGATTATCAAAAATTAAATTTTAAAAAGTAAGACATTTCTCTTTTTATATAGTGAAATCAACATATGTACATATATATATACATATATATATATAATTATAATATATGCACAATGATTGAAATAAATCCATGTTTTTACAGAATATATGTAGATAGTCAATGTAATTAGTGAATATATCATAAAGGTGTCCAAATAAATAGAGACTTTAGAAATAACACTATCACCTATCAGTTTTAAACGCTGGGTGAATGGATTTTGACAAATTTTATGAACACTAGCTCCAAAAGCATTCTTTAGGATTTGGATTTAGTAAAATATGTGAATGCAAGTGGGAAAATATTCTTTATCTGCCAAAATATTTTTTTTTTAATACCCAATCCGAAGTGTTATAAGGAACGATACCTAGTTCATATATATATATATATTAATTTATATAGTTTTGATGATGATTTACTAAAATATTTTTTTTAAATTTTAGATTGTAAGAGGAGATTTTAAAGGAGAAATAGCAGAAATAATGAAAAAGGATAAAGTTAGGTATTAATTTCACAAGGATAAAATAGACTTAAAAATGTTATTACGCTTTTTCCGCCTGATAAAGAAATTTCCGATGTTTTATGGGGGGGGGTAATTTTTCGAAACATTTCCCCCTAGTTTTAATCCTTTTTAATTTGTTCCAGGTGTACTGCTATTATCCGTCTACTGGTTTCGGAAAAGATTATCACCAAGTCTTACGAAGATATTTGTCTCTTTACCGGAGATATACGAGAATTCGACTAAAATTAGATATGTGTTATTGTTGATTTTCAACCAATATTGAAGATTTGTCTTTTTATCCATAATATTCGTAAAGTCAAACAAACCAAGTTGCTAAAATTATAACTTATCTTATGTCTTACGTCGAGATATTGTAACGTTTTAGATTAATAGTTATCTGTATGTTTTGCCGGTCTTAACCTCAACTTGGACCATTTTGTAAAAGTTTCCTAGATTCATAAAACCAAAAAAACTTCCGGATGAATCTGCCCGTCCCTATATCAACAACTCCACACAAAAATCCGCCAATACTGACTCGATTATCTACCAGACCTTTCCGTTCTACTGTTCCTAGAATATTCTGAAGAGAATTAAACCCTCTTCTTAGTCTCCTTCAAGTGTACCTGATATTTTCTTTTTCAGAATTTATAATGGAGGCAAGCTTTACTAAGGTCAAAGGCGGGGCATTGGTACTTAAGGTAATGGGATGGGATGGGATGGGATGGGATGGGATGGGATGGGATGGGATGGGATTAGATGGAATACAAAGGGATGGGATTAGATGGAATACAAAGGGATGGGATGGAATACAAAGGGATGCGATTAGATGAAATACAAAGGGATGGGATTCGATGGAATACAAAGGGATGGGATGGAATACAAAGGGATGGGATGGAACACAAAGGGATGGGATTGGATGGAATACAATGAGATGGGATCATGGGACACAATAAAATATAACCTGAGATACGAAGAGAAGGGACTGGATATAAGGGAATGGGATACGAAGAAATGGGATGGGATGAGATGGGACGCGGCGGGACGGGACGGGATGACGACAAATCTCAAATGTTTGGGTACATGTTTTATTATTTTTTTTGTTCAGGGGGAAAAGAAAAAGAAACACAAGAAGACCAAGAAAAGGGATAGAAGCGGAGAAAGAGATGGCGAGGGGGGAAAGAAATTAAAAAAGAATTTAGAACACGAAGACATGAACAAGTAAGTAATATATATTGAACAGTGAACACAGCATTTTGAGTCTTACATTTGTTTTCTTAAGGCACGGTGGTTGGTGGCAAACAACAAATTTAGCACATATTGTTGGTCCTGTGGCACTCCAGTTCTATAATGGTGCATATATGAAGGTATTTTTAATTACAATAATTCACCAAACCAAATTATTTCTGATATCATGATGTCGCTTAACATCGATACGAAATTGTAAAAACATCAAATTTCATTTGATACAATATACCGCAATATAGCAACACATTATTTGTTATTGCTTCGTGCTAACTTTATTCATCTCCAATTTTTCATATTTTCATTTTAATTCTGATTATGAACTTCAGGCGCTAGACAACGGAAAGTTTGTACTCGGGGCTCCTCACGATGAAGGACAGGTACTCCCCTCATACTTTACTGTACTTCACTGGACTGTAATATACTGTACTGCACTGTACTATAAACTGCATTAATTCAATTTATTTATACTAGAAATTCAAGGCGCTTCGCGACCTTCTTTCTAGGCTATCTTCTATTTAAATTGTGAACATGTTCTTTTTGTTTACATTTAAAAACAAAGAAGAAAACAATTTTGCGGATTTAAAAAAAATCGCGGATTTTCAAGAATTTAAATTTTTTTTTAACAAAATTAAAAACCTTTAAAACACATTTTTTTTCATCATTCATAAACCTTCCCTGTGGTCACGTGATGTCCCACAAAAAATTTGGGCCCGATCGGTTTAGCCGTTTTGACGTTTATTAGATACAAACAGACAGACAAACAAACAGACAAGCCACATTTATACAAACAAAAGAAACATTAATTCCCCTGATGTATACTGTGTAGGGGTACAGAAGGAAAATTAATCCCCCGGGTGTATACTGTGTAGGGTACAGAAGGAAAATTAATTCCACGGATGTATTGTGTAGGGTCCAGAACCCGAAGAGATCTTGATGGCTATGAAGGTTGGCGACGGCAAGTTCTCCCTGAAGTCAGGGTTCGATAAATACCTGCGCCTGGACAAGGCAGCCAGGATGGTTGGTGTGAGTGACGCCGTCGGCGCCATGGAGATGTTCGACCCTGTCTGGGAGGACGGGAAAATGGCAGTCTTAGGTGATGATTTTTTTAAGAGGTTTTTTTTTCGTTGAAATGGACAAATAAATGAAAATCAAAAAATAATTGAGTGTGAAAAATTAAGAAAGACTTGAAAATCGAAGAAAAAATGAAATTATCCAATAATACTTTTAGGACCTAACGGCAGGTTTATGTCGGTCGACGACGAGGATTTTGTCGTCTTTGATCAGGATAAAGTTGGACCTGCTCAGATTATCAGAATAAGGAAACCTTGATAAAAATTAACTTTCAAAATTGTAAATAATACAGATTTCATTGCTTGACCTCATCCTTCTATCAATCTTAAGTTTACAGTAATATCCAGATACGTATCTAAAATACAGCCAATCAGAGACTCAATTGTAGAAACCGAACACTGAATTTTTTTGCAGTTTTACACGCTGATCAATGAGAGTACTCTCATTGGTCGGAATGTAGCAGGGAAATCTAAAACGTTTTTAGCTCAGTATACTAATAATGAGAAAACAAATACAAATTTACCAGATTTATTTCATGAAACCAAAATTTCCCCGTAAAATTTGGGAAAAATTTCACGGTTTTTTTTATAATCGGAATTAAATATGATTTATAAAAAGTCTGAAAAATTGATTATCAAACGTTGTTGTTAGATCGAATCGAGAAAGAGAAGATATGAAAAAGACGGTACGCTAAAATTAAAAAAAACTTTTAAAATTTTATTTTAACATTTTTTGTTACAGGAAATACCTGAAGAATTACGGGGTAACTTGTATCAAGTAGAAACAAAATTCGTCAAGAAATTTCAGAAATTTCAGGTTTGTTCTGTTTGATTTTTTTTCAGAAATTGATCAGAAATTACTTATTGAATAATTAAAGCGCTCCCGAACACTTTATTTGTTTGTTATGTTCAACAAAATATATCAAAAATATCGGAGAAATTAAGAAACAAACCAAGTGTACCCTCCACTGAGTATCCACGATGAAGTTTCGTTTTTTCCTCTAACGGGACTGTGACCTTCCCTTTACAGTTTAACATGCTTGATTCACAACGTTATCCTCTAAACTTATATCTGATCATTGACAACAACTCTGTTTACATAGAGGCTGCAGCTATGAACTCCTGTGTATTATAAGATTACTGTAGAATTTATTCCAATTCTGAGTTGTACTCCTTAAAATTCAGAACATTTATAAAGTTTGAATGAAAATGTTCCTTTTCTGTAAATCTCGGAAAATATATTTTATTTTTAACGTGTGAAACGTAGTGAATTGGACATGACACTAATGAACCATCACCTCAAGTTATGATTGCAGAGCTGGGAACTTTTGAATAGTGTGATTAATGCCTAATGGACTCTTTTTCTTAATCTCGAGATTAAATTACGCTTGTTCTCCTCTTGTTATTAATCTCCAGATTAACTAAGCGGTCGGGATTAAGAATATCTCATTCTAGAGTTTTCAGCTCAGTTCCGTTAACGAGAGAGAGGTCCGACCGTCAAAAATAAAAAAAACCTGGCTGAGGATTTTTGTAACAAAAGAATGAATTGAATATCCATTAAAGATTACAGTGATGAAAAATGAGGGTTGGTTTAATGCAGGATCTATGCATATTATTTTTAACTTGATTCTTATCTTTTATTTTGCCCAGGACCACAAGCTGCGCCTGAACCCTAATGGAGTAGCTGAGCTTGTTGAGGCAAAGCGTGGAGGAAACCTTCATGAAACTTTGCTGGACCGAAGAGAAAAAATGAAGAGTGACCGGATGTGTAAATAATGACTTCACTTTACTGCTGTTACATCCGGTTTAATGGGATATTTCCGGTGTGATTGTAGAAGAAACTTGATATATCTGATATGTGACTAAACCGGTTTATTGCCGACCAGTTTTCAGATAGATCCGGTTTTTTCCAGCATTATCCGGGTTATTGCGTTCCCGATTGATGATTATTTGTACCTGCTTAAAGATGGAACACCGTAATTACTAGTACTAATTATTATTGTTGTGTTTAACGGATGATTCATTTCAGATGCTTGGATTTCATTTTAAGAACTCCTGCGTTTCAACAATCAACATTTACGGCGCATGCGCCTAGATTTTCTAACATCTCGATATTAGCCTTTTGTGATTCAAGGAATTTGAACTCTAGTCTTGAGTTTAGTTAAAAACTAGTGCCAATATGTATCCTGGAAGACCCAACCCTGGAACTGGTCTGCCACAGAACTCAGTTATGCCTGGACAGGGTTCCCTTGCTCCGGGTTCTATGCCCCCTGGTCAGGGTGCTCTACCCCCTGTTCAGACTCCTCTAGGACTAGGGTTCGGAGCTGGAGGTCTAGGACAGTCTCTGCCATCGTATGGAGGTAGGAATTAACTTTTGTAACACATAATTTGTTAAAAATGAAAAGATACTTAACTAATTTAAATTAGGTCAAAGTTCTACCTATGGGGGACAGTCCGGATTTTCCGGCTCCCAAACTGGTTCTTTCGGAGGAACCGGTTCTTACGGTGGATCCAGCGGTGGAAATGGTAACGGAGGTATCCACGGCCAACTGCCCGGCCTTTTGGGAGCTCTTGGTGGGATTGGCGGTCTGGGCCCGATGGTACCCCCGCCCCTGCAAACTGACCGGCCGGTACATAGTTCAGGAAGCTCCAACTCCCCGCCGTCCCAGCTTGTGTCTCCACTTAACATATCCCCGCCCGGCCTGCCCTCACCCGACAACCCTGTCTTCAACTGCCCAAGGAAATTTGCTAAAAATATAAAAACACATTACAACATTTTAAACTATTTTTTTAATACTTAAAGGGAGTGACTGGCTATGTAAGGTAGTTGAATTGAGTAGTGAGTATGCAGTGTTGTGGAAAGCTTCCTTCGAATTCATTTGAGACATATTAAACTTTTAAAAATCTATTGGTTAAAATGCATCTTTAAGCAAATTTTGTGCTAGGCGCCCCAATCTTGGAAGAGAGGGTAGACCTATTGTGCTTCGAGCAAACCACTTTAGAATTGACATGCCGAGGAAAATACAATTTATTTATTAATTAAACAAACTATCTAGAATAAGTATCAATGTTTAATAATGCGACTATTTAAGGAGGCCAGCATTAAGAAAACTGTCTTTTGATAATGATCTAATCATATTTGAAAATTCATTAACTACAATTTTCTGAAGATGGAAAGTCAAAGGCCAACCTTTCCGGTCAAAAATTCTATGGAAGAGTGAAGAGTATTTGAAATTTCCTTAACTCAGAAAATAATTTGTAAATCCAAAATAAAGTGGTTCTATGATAAATTGTTTTGATCAGGGGTTACATCAACCACTATATCATCTCAATTCAGCCGGATAAATGCCCCAGGAGGGTCAATAGAGATATCATTCAAACAATGGTCAGTACAACATAATATTTTTTTTTCTCAACTAACTTAAACCGAAGTGTAAAGCATTTTGAATTAAAAATATACGTCTTTTAGAAATTATAAAAATTGTTCAGTTGTTCAGTGTTTAGGCGTTAAATTTTATTAGAGAAATTGAAATTTTGACATTAATATTAAAAGAATTGAAAACTAATCAAATTACATGTTTTTTTACTAACACGTTTTGAATTCCGTGGATGTTTTTTTGCCTCATTTTAAATCAAAATATCATTTTTTATCACTTTCTTTATCATTTCAAAAATTTTCCGTTTTTCAAACTTTGAAATTTTTTTGGTTCCCGCTTTCCTATTTTTAACATTTCAGTGAGACCAATAAATCTGTGGAATAGGAAGATGACGCAAGTTATGATCTTTACAAATCCAATGAACAATAATCGCAGCAATTGTGCAGTGTTCATTGACCCCTTTCATCTAATTGATTGATTTTCAAACTCTTGGCAAGACTAGATTTGTAACAACTCAAATACACATCAAAATTGCTTTAAAAACGTCTTTTTAGTTCAAATTTTTCTGGGTCTCACCATATATAGTTACTATCTAATTTTACAAATTTTATTAATGAAACAATAATAACAAAATATCTCTAGTCCTGGCAATTCCAAAATTTGGTCTGCCTTTATTGTGCGTCTAAAATAACTATTAAAAAGTAGTTCGATTCATTGTTAATTAATTCCAGGTCTTTCTGGTTATGATTGTATGTTATTATGCTATCCTCATAATCTGAGTTTATTTGATATAAATTATTCAAACATATTATTTATAAAATATACAATACTTACATTACGGTGAATTTAATATTTTGTTAAGAATATGAAGTTTAAGAAATAAATCATTTATTATAGCAGAACTATTTTATCATTTCAGTAATTACATCATTATAAATTCCTTTAACATAGAAATGGTTTATTCTTGAACTAAAAGTTCTTGTGAAAATCTGAACTTTTCACGAGAGTTCGATTTCAATAGTTTATTTTGAAACTAATTTGTTTGTGTACTTGTAGGTAAACGCATACAGCAAGATATTTGGAACCCAGAAACCTGTATTTGATGGAAGAAGCAATCTTTATGTCAGAGATCCTCTTCCCATCGGTTTGTTTCTATTTTCTAATTAATTTAAACCAGTGTTCAGGACCCGGATCCGTTGGATCCGCAAGATTTTTGCTTTCTGAATCTGGATCCGCAATAATATGCGGATCCACGGATACGAATCCAAGGGGCAAATATCAACCAAAAACTGTAGAAAAAAAGTTCACTCTCAAAACCCAAATCTGAACTACAGGGTGGCCAAAATGTACGGATTGTACGGATTGTTTTTTTTTTTTAACCCTACAATTGTACGGATTTGTCTTCAAATTGTACGAATTGTACGGATTTTTATCCTGGAAAATACACCGTTTTTTTAAATTTTCACTCATTTCAGCAAATTTTTCATGAAAATAAAAAAAAATTCTCGTCAAAATGAAGTTAGTNAGTTTTGGCCACCCTGGAACTATTGAAAAAAGAGAGATTATACAATTTTCTTGATTTCTGAATGGTTTGTCATGTTTTCGCATAAAAGTAAGCGAACGAAATAAGACAAAAAATTAATAATTCTGCTTTCTTTAAAAAAAAATTCAGTAAATTTTGAAGAAATAACCTGGATCCGGATCCATTTTTATTAGTGCGGAACCAGGATCCAGATCCGGATCCGCATCAAAATTAAATGGATCCAGAAGCAATGATTTAAAGGGACTGAAGGCATGTCCGATTCATAACTGTATCCCTTTAAATATTAGTCTGGGCAAAAATGATGAAGAAATCCTTGCTTGTTTTCTATCTGAAATTTGATCATTTCTATTTGTCGATTCTCTTTAAAGTTACTTAGGGATTTATGCAGCAGAGACAAAGACGAAAATTGTCATAATTAAACACTGCCAGACGGAAACGCAACTGTATTATTGATGCCCTAGATTTAGATTTAAAGGACCGGCTACTTAAAATTACATCCAACCAACCAGTTAAACAACCAACTAACAAACCAACTTAACAACCAGCCAACTAACCAATTAACCTACCAATCAAACAACCAACCAGCAAAGCGACCAACCAACAAAAAAATGAACCTAATCTACCAACCTAATCCAACAAGCATCCCACAAACCAACCCAATCTACCAACCTTATCAAACAAACAACCCACAAACCAACCCAATCTACCAACCTAATCCAACAAGCATCCCACAAACCAACCCAATCTACCAACCTAATCCCCCAAGCATCCCACAAACCAACCCAATCTACCAACCTAATCCAACAGACAACCCACAAACCAACTTACCAATTAACCAACCAATCAAACAACCAACCAGCTAAGCGACCAACTATCAAAAAAATTTACCTAATCCAACATGCAACCCACAAACCAATCCAATTTATCAACCTTATCAAACAAACAACCCACAAACCAACCCAATCTACCAACCTTATCAAACAAACAACCAACCAACCAAAACGTTCAAGCTTCCATATTAACTCTTATCTGCTTAAAAATCTCAAGGTCTATTTATTGTCTAATCCAGATTAAAAACTTGCTTGTCGTGAGTTGTCTTAAGCTTATTTATTTTGCGCACGTTCACTCTCATCTTAATTATTGCGTTTTCCAAAAATTTAAAATCTTATTTTCTACATGATCTTGATGAAAACTGTCTGTTATTTTTACACTGTTCAGTTTGATTGTTCTCAGGGCCTAAGTACAAAACCTTCTTATAATATATTGTTTTATTTAATATTTACTGTTCTCCAGGTTTACTAAAGTTCTCATGATCGGACCTACACAGAACCCTAACACAAATATTCACCTCTTCTTAATTTTTTTTTACTTCTAACGCATAAATCTTTAGTTTTCAGGGACCTGGAGCAGACAGTCAGATAATAAGCTCTCAATGTGTTTTTAACCCTTGTATATGTATATGTATGTGCCAAATAAACCATTTATTTATTTATTTATTTATCTAGGTAAGGATGCTGTTGAGCTTGAAGTAACCCTGGATGGAGAAGGAAAGGATCGTGTGTTCAGGGTTTCTATCAAGTGGCATGCTCAGGTAAACTAATTCAACCTGTAAATATTTCGTTTATTCATTCTTCATATGTTCATCCTTACTAACCTTCTCATTCATTCATCCTTCAAACCTTTTTTACAGTTTTCTTTACACATCATAATCTGAGTTTGTTATTTGTTTATAAAGTTTTTTATTATCTATCTTCTTGTGATTTTTTAACATTTCTAAATATTGATTTTGATGGTTATTTTATCGTTAGATCTGAAGTGGGTCAACCCAGACCGAAATTTATTTTCAAAAAATTTGGAACTAACACCTTTGTTTGGAACATCTTTAACACCGAATTATATTAATATATTGTTTTTGATTGGCTTATTTCTTATAATTCTTCAATTTAATAATTAAAAAGAAGTTTCTTGTGTCATTTAAAAAACCATTAGATCCTAACATAATCACAAAGCTAGATGATTTGTTTAAGTATTTTTTTCTTGAAGAAATATGAAATCATTTCTTATTTTTGAAGAAATATGAAATCATTTCTTATTTTTGCGCAATATTAGTTGTTTTCTAGTTNAAAACATCTCTTATTTTTGAAGGTGTCTCTGTTTGCCCTGGAAGAAGCACTAGAGGGTAGAACCAGACAGATCCCCCACGATGCAATCCAGGTATGATGGTTAACTCCCATTTTTAGATAAACCAATCAAATCCGACCTGGTTTTACTTAGCTCTTAGATTCCAATCAATTTTGACGTTCTTTGAAATTTGAATCCGTATCTCATGCACTTCTAAATTAATCGCTATCCAACTCCAAACCAATCTAACCATAACTTAGTTGTACTAAACCGTTTGAACCCAACCGAACTCTTTAACCCAATAGCGATTCATATTAATTATCCAAACAACTCTATCCAAACAAAATGCTGGGTTAAGTATAATTGGTAAATATTGTAGAATTAGAAAGATTAACAAGAAGAGTTAAAATCAATCGAATTATTGGATCTATTCTAAAAGACCAGGCCGAATTTAAACAATTTAAACCGAGTTGCTAAACCGTCAAAAACCGGTTCCAATTGAGCTCCGGCTCAAAACTCGAAACACTGAAAAAGTTTAAAGTGGAACCGTCCATGTTCGAGACGCGTCTTAAATTTGCGACGCGGCTTAATCTTTTTAATTCGGTCTCTGATCAATTTGAAAATCAGGCATTGGACGTGGTGATGCGACACTTGCCTTCCCTGACTTATACTCCTGTAGGACGATCATTCTTCTCCAGGTAGAAAATTAGACTGCTTGCTTGATACTTTACCAATGATACCTGTGTACATGGTAAGGTTATGTGTCATTTTCTTTCAAAAAGTCAGGGGTGTAAATTTTGTTCAAAATAACACCAGGAATGCTTTTTTTAATGATTTTAAGCATAAAATTTTAGATAAAAATAAATGATTTTGAGTAAAAAGTATAAAAGGGGGGAAAGTATCCAAAAAGTGGCGAGGGGGGGGGTCAGTTGATGTCCATTTTTGCACACCCGCCCATATACAAAAATCATTTCTTCAACACAAGAAGTAGATACGTATTTTTTCCACGATTATGATATTATATTTTTTTCTCAGCCCTGAGGGTTACTACCACCCGCTGGGCGGAGGTCGTGAGGTTTGGTTTGGTTTCCATCAATCTGTCCGCCCCAGCCAGTGGAAGATGATGCTCAACATTGACGTGTCCGCCACTGCCTTCTACAAGGCCCAGGCGGCAATAGACTTCATGTGCGAGGTTTGTACACATTAATTTATTTTTATTTAATTTGATTCAATTGATTTCAAAGCATGTCAACTGGCCAAGCTTCTTCTGAGCTTTTAATACTCGACGAAATAGTGCAGATTATTTTAAATGCAATTTTAATTCTGTATTTATGAATAAAACTTTTCTCCCTTCTAATAATCTACATCAAATCAACATTAAACTAATACATTGTATTGTATTGAATATTTGTAATATGTACTAATTTAGTATTTATGTACTAAATAGATATATAAATATTTGATATATGTTATGTATAGTAAAAACCAATGCCAACGCCTACAAACGGGATTAGTCTGAGGAGTGGGTTTCTGTAGTCAAGGGTTGCACAGACGTGACATAATAAGTGAATATAGTATATTTAAATATATATATATAGGTGCTGAATATCCGTGATATCAACTAATATATATTAGACAAATGTACATTCTAAATGGATATATTATATATATATATATATATTTATAGGTGCTGGATATCCGTGATATCAACGAGCAGAAGCGCCCTCTCACAGATTCTATGAGAGTCAAGTTCACTAAAGAAATCAAGGGTAAATTATTGAAAACTAGTTTTTAGTTAAAAATAATTAACAATGTCGAATTCTGTTTATATTGTTAATTGATTTTAATCATCAATTATTTTGAATAATTTATTGGTTGTACAATTCTTGTGACTAGGTTGATAAGTATAAAAATTGAAGTATTTTTTTCTACGTTATTTTAAGTTATGCTGGGTTTAGCTTGCCCGAATCCTCAAAATTTGGTCTTTTTTATTTCGATCCGATAAAAATAACGAAACTTCTTTATCGCTTCAAAAGATTAAATTTAGCGGAAATTTTGTTGAGAAATTCTTAATTTACTTAATTAAAGGGATTCATAAATTTAAATAAATTTAACTCGCCATCAAAAATTTTCATATATACATAGTCTTTGCAGCCAATAATTTACGTAGCAATTTGAAAAGGGATCGGAAACAAATAAAATCAATATTATTCACAATTTAAGAGAGTAAACCTTTATTTATTGAGTAACATTTCCGATTCACAACGGTACCCTTAAAAGCTTGGACTGCTCAAGTCTGAATAAGATATCAATGTTGATAATTTTGAAAACTGATTATTTTCAATTGTGTTGTCTCAACAATTTCTGCTTCAGAAAAGCAATGTAAGAATTATCAGGATTCAAGGGAACCGTTGTTAATCAGGCATTCCTCTCTTTCAATGAAGGGTCACTTTAAATTATGACGATAGTCCCTTTAATTCATCAAGGCGGAAATGAAAATTAATTGTATTCAGGACTAAAAATTGAAATCACTCACTGCGGGAACATGAGAAGAAAATACAGGGTAAGCACCGATCTGATTCTGTAAACTTTAGATTTAAACGATATTGTGTTTTTTCTTCTTTTAAATAAAAATTCTTTTATACAACATTCCTTAAAATATTTAGTATAAAATATTTGAATCCCCCCTGAGAAGTATAATCACGCGAGGTTGTGAAACAGTATGAGGGGGGAGGAGGTGGAGTTCTACTAAACCAAATATTCTCCCTGCCAAAATATATAGTTTGATATTAATGAATATGGGTTAATTTGCACACAAAAGTATCGAATTTTGCGAATTTTAAACCAACCCAGTGTATCAAGAACCAACTGGGGTATTCTTGGGGGGGGGGAGAGATATGATCTCCAGTGGGGATTTATCTCTTTGTTAAATTCAAAACTCAATTTATGAAAAATGTCAAAATTTATTTACAGACCTTATATTTTTGACACGTGTTAAAACTCAGGTGTGCAACGTGACCCGCCGGCCTGCGCAGATGCAGAGTTTCCCTCTTCAGCTGGAGAACGGACAGACAGTGGAGTGTACGGTCGCTAAATATTTCTTGGATAAATATAAGATGAAGCTTAGGTTCCCTCACCTTCCCTGTTTACAGGTACCGTTTATTTATTTTTGGAAAATCCCCCCCCCC